GGGGGAACCACAGGTAGCCGGTGGACTGAGGGTGGATCCACTGGTGACTTGACAGGAGTGGATGGTGGTGGTTCAGTGCTACCTGGTGGTGTTGCCGGTGGTGGTGGTGGCGGCACCGGTGATGTATTTGTTGCCGATGGTGTTGCCACATCCTGTGGTGGTGTCTGTTGCTGTTGCTGTTGCTGCAGCTGTTGCTGTTGGCGCTGCTGCTGCTGCTTCTTCCTCCTCTTGCTTCTGCTGGTACCCATGATGACCGCTGTTGTGCTGGCTGAGTGTGGTCTTGTAGAGGTGTTGAACAAGAACTGCCACGAAAAAATCCAAATGGAGACTTGAAGCCTTGTACTGTGAGTCAATGACTAAACAAAGGCTGTTTGACACACTGATATCCTTGGAATCCTTCGAAGCCGACTGGAAGATGTTCTCGTGGTGTTGCGAGTTACACTGAAAGAGGCTGTCGATCCACCGTACGGTACGGAGCGTGAAATCAACCACGTACGTGTCTTCGAGTTCGGAATTCCGAGGAAAATGTGGCTCCGATCGATATCCAAGTATCGGCGCGCTTTCGGAACAGGGGTACGTCACTCGGAAGAGGTACGTTGTACCGGTTCTGTGAGTGCCGTGTGAGTACCGGTTCCCTTTTCACCAGTACCGTCCGCAGGCACGACTGGAGATTTCCTTTTCTTCTTCCGTATCGGAAGTCGACAATGATGATCGGTCGTACCTTCCGCTATCGGCAGCCGTAACTAAGCCGATTAACAAGAAACTGGCTGGACTATCTTGTAGCGAAGGTCCAGGTTGGTAGGAGACCGTCTTGGTTTGGGCGCTACCACTCGGTTACTCGTTGAGTTAGGTCGATCGGCAGATCCTGTCGAGATTTTTCTTGTTGGTTGATCTTCCACTCTTTCCGCTGTGTCGACAGCCCTAACCAAGGCACTCAACAAGAAGGTAGGATCACCAGCTTGTAGATCCGTTCCAGGTTAGTGGGTGGACCACTTGGTTCCGCTCGAATCGGTCGCGATTCCAGTTTTCGGTCGTTCGCCGTGTCAGCCGTGTCAAGTAGGTCAATCGGCAACTCCTCCTCTCTTTGTCCTCCACGATTTTCCCACTGAGCCACTCTTGTGTGCTTGCAATCTGCGACAATGTTAATCCGATGAGATCCAGTCAGGGTAGATGCACAAAGAGCTGGCTGGGAGTGGAGAGCTCTGCTTGGAGCTTCACTCCTCTGACAGTGGGAATGGGCCAGCCACAAAGCTGGCTGCCACTGCTATTCAATCTCCACAGCAATGATTGAACAACTCACTCTTTGCCTTGGCACAATCCACACAGGAAGGCTTCAACTGTGGGGAAACTAGTGCTACTGAGGCTGTATCTGGTCAACTATCCTTTCATTACTTCTTCTTCTAAAACTATGCTAAAATCAACTGAACACAAAATCCTCGACAGCACTCAGCCATGCAGCTTTGGCTCTCTTGCATCTCATTTGGCTGGTGCTGGCAAGCTAACTTTCTATATTGGTCTTGGCTGAAGAACTGCATCATCCTTGGGTATATAGAGTTCCTCAGCTATTTCTGTATTGCCAGATGGCTGCACTGCTGACCCTACTGTTGGAGTATACAGATGTCACAGCGATCCTTCCACCTGGCTAAACCAGCACAGCTGCTTCGCACCACAATGGGGTTCACGTGGATTTCCACTCATCGGAATACTTTCAATGATACCATTTGCGGTCGGTTACCTCAAATAGCAACTGACAGCAAATTGGCGATATTTGCCGTCAGTGGCTTCCTCTCACAAAGTGTCAGCAAATATTTGAGGCAATGATGGGCTTATCTGAGTCCGTTGATGGTGATTTTTGCCTCCCATAGCGGCAGATTACAAGTTTACGTGAGTACCATCTTTTGCGGCTATATTTGTGGCCACTGTTGATGATGCTCTTATGTCTTAAAACATGGGCTAATCCTACCACTACTCGAGTACCCCATACCGAAAGTTATCAGAGCGACAGGAAAAGCCCTGTCGGAGTGCTAGCAGCCAGCTCTGAAACTAGCTTGCCAGTCAAACTATCGAACAACTCTTCTGCTTTGGAATCTCCATGCGTGAGGCACTTGGCGGATCTAGTTGTCGCATTTCCCTTTTTGCCGCAGAAGGGACAGAACTTGCCTTTGACATTGACACAGGTGACAGCACCGATGGCAGCAAGACGATCTTGCCGTTCTGTAGACAAGTTGGGATGATTCAGCTGGCGATGCAACCAATAACCCAAAGCTTTGTCTCTCCTGAACGTGGTACCCTGCCTGCAGTGGCCATGAGGAGTATGCACAAAGGCTTCAACCTGGCCAAAGTTGGTCTCCCATATCTCATCATGTGGTCCCCTGGTGGAACTCATGTCAATGCCAAGAGAAGGCCAACCTGTTTGCAGATACGGAGAGAGCATGTTTCTTCTGATAGTTCAGAAATAGGAACAATCCAGGATGATGATGCTTCAATCGGCTCTGGTCTAGGAGACTGCTGGCATCCAAATTGGTTCTCACTTTCATCAAATCCTGCAATTCCTTGTACGATGTCATCCATACTTTCTTTCCTTGGTGAGCCTTATAGCTAGCTAGTAGTCATGCCCATTATCCATGGGTTTGGATCGCTTCATAGAAAACAGCAAGGCTGTTTTTAACCTTTGATCTTTGAGTGTTGAAGCAGCTCTGCGCTCTTAATGAGCGAAATTTATGTTTCTTCGTGGTTGGATAAAAAGCAATACTCCCTGACGGTTAGACGCCTGCCTGCCATCGCTTTCAACAGTTCGGTCTTTGGATCCCTTTTGAAGAAAAGCAATTGTCAGCTCTCCATTACCTGAAGGCAAGATGGCATCCGAAGAGCGCTTCATCCCCCCTCGTCAAAAGCTGGACCAGCTTAGTGTGGTAAAGGACTATGCGACAGTTCCTCGCCTCGAATATCGGTGAGTGTCGTGAATTGGACGCGCCAGAGAAGAAGAAGATGGATCTTTGTTATCTTTTTTGTGTGATGTTTGACTTTTGTTGCGGAAGTCAACTCAGCCCGCATCGTTGTTACATTGTAGTACCATTGCTGGTGTGAATGGTCCTCTTGTCATTTTGGACAATGTCAAGCTTCCCAAGTACGCTGAGATTGTCAACTTGACGCTCGGCGATGGCACCCAGCGCTCGGGTCAAGTCTTGGAGGTGGCTGGAAGCCGTGCCGTTGTGCAAGTGTTTGAGGGTACTGCAGGTATTGATAACCGAAAGACTCGTTGTGAATTCACCGGAGATGTGTTGAAGATGGGAGTTTCAGAGGAGATGCTTGGACGATCCTTTAATGGATCTGGAAAGGTGATTGATTCTGCACCCAAGGTCCTCGCTGAGGCATATTTGGATATCAACGGACAGCCCATCAATCCTTCTTCTCGTGATTACCCCAAAGCCATGATCCAAACCGGTATTTCGGCCATTGACGTCATGAACTCTATTGCTCGAGGTCAAAAAATTCCGATTTTCTCGGCTGCTGGTCTTCCACACAACGAAGTCGCTGCCCAGATTGCACGTCAGGCATCTTTGGTCAAGCAGAGTGATACTATGGATGGCCATGAGGACAACTTCGCCATTGTGTTCGGTGCTATGGGTGTGAATATGGAAACTGCTCGTTTCTTCCGCTCTGATTTCGAAGAAAGTGGAGCCATGCAGCGAACTGCTCTCTTCCTCAACTTGGCCAATGATCCTACTATTGAACGTATCATTACACCTCGTTTGGCGTTGACAACTGCCGAGTATCTCGCCTACGAGCGTGATTTGCACGTTCTTGTCATTTTGACAGATATGTCTTCCTACGCAGACGCTCTTCGTGAGGTTTCTGCCGCTCGAGAAGAAGTGCCTGGACGACGTGGTTACCCCGGTTACATGTACACAGATTTGTCTACAATCTATGAGCGTGCTGGTCGTGTGGTTGGACGCAACGGATCCATTACCCAGCTTCCCATTCTTACCATGCCTAACGACGACATTACGCATCCAATTCCTGATCTTACAGGATACATCACAGAGGGACAAATCTACTTGGACCGTCAGCTGCATACAAAGGGTGTCTTCCCTCCAATCAATGTGTTGCCGTCTTTGTCGCGTCTGATGAAATCCGCCATTGGTGAGGGCATGACCCGTTCGGATCACGGATCGGTTTCCAATCAGCTGTACGCATCTTATGCCATGGGTAAGGATGTCATGGCCATGAAGGCAGTTGTTGGAGAGGAAGCCTTGTCGATGGAGGATCATTTGTACTTGAGCTTCTTGGAAAGGTTCGAAGGCAAGTTTGTGTCTCAAGGTCCCTACGAGGCCCGTTCTATCTTTGAGTCCTTGGATCTTGCCTGGAGCATTCTTCGTGCTTTCCCCAAGGAACTACTCAAGAAGATCCCCAAGAAGACTTTGGACAAGTTCTATGCTCGTCGTCGAGAAGCCCAGGAAGAAATGAACCAAGCCTCGGGCGCAAACTAAGGGATGTCGTGAAGACTGTCTTTATTCTTTTTCAATTGTATGCGATCTTGCAGAAACTAAAACTAAGAGCTAGAGTCCTCAGTAAATCCCTCATTGTAGTTGCCGTGTGTGGGTCCACCGTACCTAGCCAGTATTCTAGCTGGAAGGCATTCGTTTCGATTGCTCTCCTTCGTGGACCGAGCTGTTGCACTTGGATGTCCCTGCTAGTAGGTGTATGCAGACATATAGAACCCAGCGTCTGATGGCGCAATTGACCTGAGGACACAAGGATTCGATTCATCCAGGTGTGTAAAGTGGTTGTGCTCTTGCTGCTGCAATATCATGTTCAATGCCGATTTGACGACCGCTGTAGAAATAAACTGGCCATATACTGCATCAAATGCATTAACTCGGGCAAGGAATACGTTGGGGCAACCCAACGAAACGCCAAAGAACGAACATACCAACACTTCACAGACCTCACGCGTCTCTTCTACGGAAAACGCAAGTCAGATTCATACGCAAGACACTTTTCCAACGAATTCAAAAACTTCGCATCTCCTTCACCATTCCGGCTTAACGGCGACATTCAAAGGAACAGCATCAAAATTAGCATCATATGGCAAGGCAACCCCATCAGCACTGTCAAGACCTTCGGGACACGACACTGCAGCCTATGCAACAGGGAGCGACTCGAGATACTGAAACGATCCAAAGAATCGCCAGAAAACCTGATCAACTCCTGCAACGAAATATACGGAGCATGCCGACATAAACCTCGATTTCAGAAGTACCACAATAGCCCAAGCACTGATGATTCCCAAGGGGGGCGATGAAAAAGTCAAACAACCGAAAAGTTACCACAGAGTAAAGCCTGTGTTTTAGCGATTCGGCAGTTTGTGAGTAAACTTACTTAGTTCAGTCACTTTTTGCTAAAATTGTATGATCATGTTCAAGTCCCTGTAGAGCTTGGGTTCTGACTGTGAATCTGATACATGCATGCAGTTGCGGAAAAAGTTGGCGCAGTTGAACTTCAGGTGAGTTGTACACAGTGCTGAGATGTCATATGAATCTAGCTAGCAAAGAGTGACTGTGTGGTCAACTGGTACAGGTGAATTTTTCTTCCATGCAGGAGGGACCAAGTAGCCTAATACAATGAAATGGTTCAACTGGTATGTACAGGATGCAGGAGAAGGATGATTCCAGGCTCAAGGATTGCTGTACAGCAGGGTAGGCCATTGAAGAAACCTTGGCTCAGTGGAAGCCATCGTGCTTTAGCTAACATCAATAGAGAGGAATGATGTAGGTTGGTTGATAGGTTATGATTAGTAGATGTTTTTAGAGGAGATGATGAATGCATCGTGGGTGCAATGGTGCAATCGAGGAGGCATGCCTTGTCAATCTAACCCTAACCGTCGATGAGAACCTCAGCATCAGCGATGCAGGCGAGCACCATAGAAAACTCCAGAGTGCTTCCAACAGCAATCTTCGAATGCGATGAGCTCGAGTCTCGATCGACACCACCCGCCAAGTTCTCCCAACCTCGATCAATCAATGCCAACAGCCATCCCTACCGCAGCCATGGTGTTGACAGATCGACAACGGGGGGACCTCCATGCAGCTATTTTTGAATACTTGCTGTCTCGAGGAGATGAAGGTTTTCAAAAAGCAGCGGAGTTATTAAAGGAGGCGGATCCTGACTCTTGCACCGGCAAGGAGCCATTGGAACCTGGGAAAACGCCTCTCCTGGAGAAGAAATGGACGGCTATACCGCGTTTGCAACGCAAGGTTTTGGAGTTGGAGCGTACGGCTGCTCAAAGTGCCAAAATCCACGCCCATCGTGCTGGAACCCCAGCTACCTCGGAAGCCACTGGTGCAGGAAATAGGCGAATGCTCCCCCGACTACCCTGTACGCACACTCTTGAAGGACATGCTGCCGTTGTGACTTGTGTCAAGGTGCATCCTGTATTTACCGTGGCCGTCAGTGGGTCCGAAGATGGAACAATAAAGGTGAGTTGTTCGTTGAGGGGGAATATGATGAATCTTTTATTAAAACGCGTGCAACTATTGGGTATATACCCGAAGCTGACTTATGATTGAATTCAATTTATTTGGTGACCAGGTTTGGGACCATGAAAGTGGAGACTATATTAAGACACTGAAGGGTCACACCCACACGGTAACCGACGTTGCCTTCACTCCGAAAGGGTCACATATGGCATCCTCTTCCGTGGATCTATCCATCAAATTGTGGAATTTCAGTACCTACGTCTGCCTACGCACTCTTCGAGGACACGACCACACCATTTCCAGTATCCAATTCCTACCCTCTAAAATGCTCGAAACTTCCACTGGTTCCAGAACCACCGAATCTGCCACAACCACTGGACTCGATGCGGAAAAGGATGGGGCAACCCATCTCATTTCTGCCTCCAGGGACAAAACTGTCAAACTTTGGCATGTCGAAACTGGATTCTGTGACCATACATTCCAAGATCATACAGACTGGGTGCGATGCTTGGCTGTAAGGCAATCAGATGGAAAAGTCTGGGCATCGTCGGGGAATGATCAAGTCATCTATGTATACGACAACACCAAAGCTAAGATCGGGGAATTGAGAGGCCATGATCATGTTGTTGAGAGCCTCGCATTTATCACGGAAGAAGCATTTCCAAAGGCAAACAGAGAAAACAAACACAACGAGACCGTCCGTGACTACTTGGCATCGGGGAGCAGAGATAGGACTGTGAGATTATGGAAGGTCTCCTCGGGTGAATGCCTTGCAACCTTCAGTTCCCATGAAAATTGGGTACGCAGCCTGCTCATTCATCCCAATGGAAAATATATCATTAGTTGTGGCGATGATCGATCGATTCGAGTCTTTGACATTCAGGTACGTGCAGTTTTGTTTCTGCCTTTTGGAGACGCATCAATCAATCACAAAACAAAAACGCGCCCTGAGAACTGTCATGTCAGTGTCAGCTCAACAGCTGACCCCCTTGTCTGTTTGCGTGTTGCGTTCTTGCTTATGTGAGCAGGCCAAAAGATGCCTTCGGACCTTGGAGCATGCGCATGACCACTTCGTTACATCCTTGGACATGCATCACACACTCCCCATTATGGTTTCCGGTGGCGTCGACCAAACAGTGCGGTGTTGGATGTTGGACTAGCTAGTGGCAAGTCGCAGGACCGTCATCGAATTTATCGAGAAAGCCTTGCGCCAGCTACCGGTGGGTTGTATCGCGTTAAAGTGAGAAGTTAAGTAGAATAATCCCTAGATGTTCCCCTTGTGGTCGCTGATGTTTCTACATTGCCAGCGTTTTGCACTGCCCATTCTTTCATTAGTTAGTTGACCTTACCTCTGAAACACCAGCAACTTGTACAAGTGGTTGCGATTCAGTGTGAAGTCAGTCCTGGCCCGCTAGCTAGCTAGTAGTACCTCGGGGTTTTCATGACAAGAGTCCGATTGCTCTGTTGGGCAGTTGGGCACCTTCAGATGCCTACCTGGTACAACTGTACCACAATTTGAAGCTGATCAAAACCACCAATGCTCTCTGAGTCCAGGGACTGATGGGCTCCATTCACGCTGTCGCTTACCTCCCTTGTACACAATGTGGTAGATTGGAGATGGGCTTTTGCTGCCCCCATCCGAATCGATCACTCGCAGCTTGATATTCTGCAAGGAGATGATAAACACTTTGTCAGTTTCCCACAGAATGAGATTTGTGCCTTTTACTAGTGGAGGAATAAGTGAGATGTCCAAGTTTCTATCTCATCGAGGAGCACTGTCGGTAGCTTTGCGCCTTCTCTCCTGCTCTTCCGTTCTCATAATGTGTTCTGGCATGCCGAATGTTGCGTACTCATCAATTGCCAAGAGTATCCAAGATGTGGTCGCCGCTTCTGTTGAGCGATGCCTCGGAGGAACCGGCTCCGGCATCATCAGTAATATTGTGGATTCCCAGCAGGCAGTATCGTTCCTGCTGTCGCTCAACATCAAACTTGCTTTCCAGGTACGTCTAATAACAATATCGGTTGCCGTCTGGTTTGCTCATACATGCATGCGTTGATAGTATACTAAATACATCGTTTCGTGTGTTCTTTCTTGCCAGGCTTTCAAAAACGCGCTTCCAACAGCACTCTCCACTGGCGATTACTCACGGGTCACCTCACTTGCTGGTATCGGAGTAAGAGCCACTTCAGGTCAAAATGACAGCTGGCAGAAACAAGTCAAGTTTGTGTAACAATGCAAGCAATATATGTCCAGTGTGCTGTAGACGATACTACCGTACATCATCTAGTCGAAGTGTGAACCTAAACCATACAACACATCAGCTGGCTAGATCTTTCAAGCTGTACCGGTACCGGTAACAGTTAGATTAGACCTGTAGGTCGTCCTTTGCGGAAAGCAGGGCGTCCCCGTGCCCATCCAGGATCTACAAGACCTGATCTGATGGAAAGACCGAAGTTTCCGGGCCCGGCATCAATGGGCTTTCCAGAGCGTCCTTCTGGGTAGACTCTGATTCTTCCAGCGCCGCGGGGTACAATGCATTTTGGGTTCATGGACCCCGATTCAATGGCCACCGAGTAGACAACGGAAGGCAGTTTTTTGGATTTTGGCCTGGGTGGCAATTGCACTTCAAATTCTACCATTGACAACCGCGATCGAACAGCATCATCGTACGGAACATCCAGCAGCTCGGACGGTTTGAACCTTTCAATAGTACCCGGAGGGCTTTCCCTCCAATATGCCCTAAGCTTCTGCCCAGCTTCTGTCTTGGCAATCGCTCGTCTTCCGTACTTTCCAGTTTTCTTTTGCAAGCTGAGTTTTACGGGATCTTTGAAATATTTGAGAATGTGTCTCTTCATACTACCGCTAACGCCTTCCAGATCTGGAGGCAAACTGTGGAAGATCCCAACACAAAACAACAGCAACAACAAAGCTTGAGCACGCATCCAGATAACGCAACGCTTATCCTCAAAAATTCCTGCATTTCTTACAGCTCCCAGTTTTTGTCCTTCATGAGGAACATTTCTCTGGACATGCCTCCCAGATCCACGCCATCGAGTTCCATTTCGGCTTGAACCTGAGCTCTGGCCTGGCCGGTATTACGCAAAAAGCGTTGGCCCTGGGACACCCCTAGTAGCGTTATGATAAGCGTAAGCACGAAAGTCGATCTCATGGTGCCTTATATGTCGACAGCTAAACTTATACGCCGAGATTGTCCTCCTTGCATTTGTCCTTGCCATTTGCGAAAGGGTTGAGATGTGAAGAGCCATCAATCGATCGTCTCATTCCTTCCACGTGGACCGATGCAAAATTGCACTAACCTTAAAATCAGGATAGCCTTTAGCCCTTTAGAAACTACAAACCGTACCGGCGTTTGTCAAAACGCGGACCGCGGTGTTTGCCAAACCGCGACCATGACGCAATTCTCCCCGGAGAAAGATCCACTAATTTTGGCGACTGCGGACTGTGCTTTACTTTTTATTTTGTAATCCATTGATTAGCAACTCTCGTCTGCAACAGAAAGGATCGCGAGACACCATGACAACAGACCAACCGAAAAACGAGAATGAAGCCGACACGGAGGACAAGGGCTCGAGCGAAGCAAAACTTGCAGGCTTGGACGACGTGCTCAAGTTGGTGGACACTGGAAAGCTCTCCGCGGAAGAAGTGGAAGTTTTGCGAGGGTTCGTGAAGGAATACCAAGGACTCAAAATTAAAGTGGATCGTATGAAGGGTCTTTTGGGACGGTCAGCCAAAGCCCAGCGAGAGGCCAAAGTTGAAGCCGAGACGGCAAAGAAACAATTGGAAAACTCACTCAAAGACGTCGATCGATTGCAGAAAAAAGTGCATCATTTGTCCACGCGACCAACGCATCGTAAGTTGCGCCTTTGTATGCAGACAGCAGGCGACACTGTCGCAGAAGTAAAAGGATGGAAAATCTAACCCTTGTTTTGATTTTTCAAAGTGGATCTACTGAACGATTTTGAAACCAACTTTGACAAAGCATTGCTAAGTGTGGGGCAAGCAGGAGGACAGGAAACAGCTCCACAGGTAGTGACAGAGACACGAGACTCTGCTCTAGACACCATGCTCATGCAGGAGCTCGAGGAAGCAAGGGCCCGCCTGTCAAAATTGGAATCTTTGAATAGCGCCCTCAATCATCGATCAGCCCAATTGGAGGCCGAGGCAAAGGAACAAAAGAGATTACGCGATGATTCACAACAAATAGTCTCTCGCCTCGAATTGGAGCTCAAAATGTCGAAAATGGAAACTGCGCAGGCACAGCGTGAAGCTGAAGAAAATGCTTCCAGTTTGAAAGAAATGCAAATGGAAATTGACATGGTCACAAAGGCATCGGTGAAAAACAGTGCTCTGGCGGCACAGGGACAGCAAATTGTAAACTCGTCGAAAACAGATCGAAAACATGTGGTACAGCTGGAAGGACAAGTTCAGGCTCTCAAAGAATGGGCCCTTGCCTCGGGAGAATCCAAACGGCTGGCCATGGAACGAGTCTCACAGTTAGAGAACAAGCTCAAGCTTCAAGGCGCTGATATGGATAGCTCTCTCACAGATATTGGTTCGACGACTGCAAAACTGATTTTCTCAAAGTCGGGATCGTTGGTAGTGGGTGCTGGTGATGTTGGAAAGTTTGTCGTCTCTCTTGAAGGTCAATTCACAGCAGACAAAAGGCTGGTGTTAGGATGGAAGTTTGATGCAACACCCATTGACTGCACCACTGAGTTTAGTGTAATAAAGGGCAAAGATGTTACAGACCCAAAGGCTGCAACCTACATGATCAACGAGAGACCAGTGGTTGGTGGTGCTGCAGGGGAACTTGAAGGTGCTTTCGAAGACGGACATTGTACCCTCCAATGGTCCAACAAAAAGTCTTGGATTCGACCCAGGACAGTCAAGGTCACAGTGCAGGTGATGAGCTATTGATGATGATTGGCCGGTTGACGATTTCCCATTGCACCATACCGTCAGTGCTCCAACAGCCACGTTGTTGCTGCCATCTTAGCTATCTTGATTCGGCCCACAAATCCTTTGTTGCTTTAGAACTAACTGGAACCATTTTCCGGTCGCCATTCGACCACTGAATAGTTTAAAAGGAATTAAGCATACCAGTACCCGTTTGGCAGCTCGTTGTCATTCAAGCTAGCTGCAGCGATGAGGAAAAGGCTCGAATTGTGGCACATTGCACCTTTCCCCTCCCAAGGTTAACTGTGCGGTACTAGCTAGTCTAGGTACCAGTAGCGAGATGCTCTACTAGATTATCGTAAACGAAACAACTACAACAAGCATTCCTACGACGAGGGAGGACACCAAAACATGGTCAGACACGATACAGAGGCTTTCTATATTTAGCTTGCTCTAACTTTGTTAACCAAATAATCATACTAATGGCTTTGTTCGATGCTCTCCAAACAAACACATATCTAGCAGAGACATGAGATGTGCATCCCATGGCAACAGTTTGGAGACATCAGTGCTCAGTGTACCGTATGCTGTCTTTCTTGATGCTGATTGCTACAGTTGCTTTTTCTCGGATGCTTCAGTTGGCGAATTGACTAATACAGCTCCTAACCATGACCAAAAGCTTGTGACAATGAGCACAACTAGAGAGGTGTAAAATTCACCGTTTCCTTCTTTGTTGGGAACTTTGGTTGTTGGTGTTTCTGATGACGACCAGGAAGCTCCCGTCGCCACTCCAAGTCTCCTGACCATGTTGTCAGCCGACTCGTCAAAGTCAATTTTGTCGAGGTAAGCAGTGAGGTAGCTTCCCAGGGCGATGGCGGTCAAACCAATGGGTACATTGCTGCTCAGGGAGACAAAGTATCTGTCGGGCCACCCAAAAACCATACATGACGCGAGAGCATGCTGGATTGGTATGAAGACCGTGTAGGTGACAGCGTAGATTGTTGAAGGGACATAAAGATACCCAAGCTTATCGACGGCAACATTGTACAGCACCATGAACAGTGCGCTGGATACTCCCCCGTAGACAACGTATCGAATTTGCATCGGTATTCGTAGGAGGGAACTGAGATGTGAAATGTGAAATACAGGGGTGGGCTTTACTGGTAAGTTGCGTGTTCTTTCATTTCGTTTTGCTATGGTGGGGGTAGCCAACTAAGAGGAAACTTACGAGTGGATTAACCTTGGGGTTGGTTCCTTGGATGTCAAAACATTCTGAGATATGTTTTCATCAGATGCCTGAAGGGGAAGCGTTTGTGCCTCTTTCTTGTTCTTGTTGACAGGTTCCTTCTTTACGGCAAGGCTTCTCTTCTCTGCACTGGGTTTGTCCGCCTTTGCGAGGTTGGTATCGATTCCAGCACTGCTGTCGAGATCTGCTGCTGCCACTTCGGGGTCTGCATGGCAAGTTGTTGGTGCTGCTCCTTTCTGATCTTCCTTTTCCATCAAGCATTGAGGACTTGCCAAACCATCAACACCCAGAGATAAGTTGATGAGTGGCAGTGTGGCAATAATAGGCAGTGATTCGAAGTTCGAAGTGTCTTTGAGGTTTTGGGCCTTATTCAATCTCCCATGCTTTATCTCTATCCCTATCCAGCTATGTTGGATCCAAAACTTCAAAGCAACGGCGTCAGTTGCCTCATTTTCTCTCCAATCGATCAGTGGATGGATCACGTGACCATGGGCCGTTCATGGAAGGTATTATGTCAACTGCTACTCTGCAGTAGCGTTGCTCTGGCGTTTTGTCCTTCACTTTTATCTGGCAGTGGCAGTGGCAGGAATGTGGCCCCATCGATTGCGCAGGAGCCATCGCCGTCCTTGGTAACTCTTAGTGCCAAAAAAAAGAAGAGGCGTCGTCGCAAGGACGCTGCTCCTGCCGATCCAGTTGTGGATCCTGCACCTGTACAAGAAAAGTCCCCACCGCCAACACAAATTCCTGATCCCGTCATTGAAAAACAGGTGGATTCTGCTCCCTCCGCCGATATCAACAGTGAGATTGCTCAGCTTCAAGATGTCGCCAATTTTGAGTTTGAGCAGGATGGAATGATTACCCCTCTCGGTGGTGGTGAGTCCGCGACAATAATGGCACCGTGGTAGAGGATCTTCTTGTCTTTCCGAAGATTTCGACTCTGTTGCTCTTTTGCACTCATTTAATTGTTCTGTTGCTGTTGGGCCTCTTTTTGTCGGGAAGAAACCCAACCTGCCGGAAACGCCCCTGTTGAGGGCTCTGGGGCCATTCCCCTTCCTGACATTAAAGAAACTCTCAAGAGAAAAGAAATGGAGGAAAAGGCCAGACAAGTGGAAGAAAGCTTGAAAGAAAAGCGTAGAATCAAACGAAGCGACAAAGAAGCCTTTACAAGGGTAAGTTCTGCTCTGCAGAACCAATCTGTGGATCTCGGACCAGCGTACTTTCAATTTGAGTTCAGTCCTTCATCATATGCATTCCATGGCCCTAACCAGTCACTTTCTGCTGCAGCTACTGGAACAACAACCATATGCCGATGCTGATGATAGCTTCTTTGAAAAAGAAGAGTACACGACTGTGAGCGCATTGCTTAGCGAAGGATCTAAACCTTTTCTTGGAATTCCATCCGGTCCACTCCAGGTTGGACACTTCATCGGTAAGCTTCGCTCTGTTTGTCTTTGTTTGTTTGTTAATGATATGATATAAGGTTGTTACCGGTACCATTTCATCAGACCACATATGAAAGGGATGGAATCAGGACAACCAAGGTGGCTTTCCAAGGTCGGAACACAACACTTCTGACACGTCCTCTTTGATTTTGATTGCAATGTCTTGGTCACTGTAGGATCGCTTGGAATCATTTTGATGGCCTTCGTCGAATATCCTGGGTTCCCACTCACAAATCTACCAACACCGTTGCGAGATTTCCTGCAAGGAGGTAGGTTCTTTTACGTGTTTCGGTCGCTCCCAAGGCTTTCCTGTCTGAGACCTTTTATGGTGTCTGCTTGACTTCTCCTCGTATTTCATACACAGGCTTAGCGGTTACTTACACCATCAATGCAATCTTGGCAGTATTGGCAGTTTTCAAAGCTGGAGAAAGGGGACAGCCAATCCCTCTTTGGGTAGTCAAAACTTTGTCCGTAGGAGGACTAGCATACGATCAATTGACTCAACTCCCTTTGGAAGAGGGCAAGAGTAAACGCTAAAGTATTGTAACAAGATGAGCTATATCGTACTTACCGAACTGGTGGAACTACTTTGTTCTCTTTTTTGCAGCTACAAAAATGTCCCATGAAGAATGGACTATGCGACAAGTGATTGAATCATTCGATTCCACAGCTGTATGCGCCGATCATCTGGTGACTTCGAACACCCTGTAGCAGTAACACTTTCCCTCGCTGATATCCTACAGCATTATTAATCAGATTCTGTTTAGCTAATGCTTTGAAATGTTATCATGTACAGTACGTGAAACAAAGAAAGTCTTACAAGAAGAAGCACGTTCGACGGAGAGACACTATCAACGTTATGGCGCTTTTTTCTTCTCATCATCGTCATCTGGAGCCGGGGTATCGGCAAAGTCGATTGCAGATTGTGCCAGCAATAGTGCCTCTTCGACTTCCTTATCAATGGCAGGCGAAGTAGTGTTGGAGGTCACTGCGACACTTGTGCTACCTGCTTCGTCCTTTGCTGTGCGCTCCTGAATTGCGGAGACGGTGGCATTCCAAGCAGCCTTGGCAGTACTTGCTCCCGCCCACCATGCTAACTTGGCAGTTCCCGTAGCTGCTCCAGTCAAGACTTTTCCTGCGATCTCTAAACCAATTTCACTTGCTGTTTGGGGGGGCGGTGGTGGTCGCTTGGGAGGCTTGGGCTTGGCCTTTTCGAGACCAAGGAAAACTTTTGTGTCCACTACAGCTTCCTCGACGGCCGATTTCACATTCGTCACAGTCTCTGTCGTGTCATCGATTAACTTTTTGGTTTTTCCAGGAATTGCTTTGACTTCTTCGACAGTCTGCTTTGTTTTTTCCACGGACTCCTTGACAGCATTCTGGACGTCATCGGCAGTGGCAGTTACTTGGCTCGGAATAGCAGTGGCTGTGGACACTGCTTGATCCACGTTTGTCTGTACCTGTTTGACCGTCCCCTTGACGAACACGGTGGTCTCAGAGGCGACCTTGGAAACTGCCTCTGGAGCCGTGGCAAGAGTTTTTGCGGCCCATACTGTGGCATCTCCCACTTGGTAGACCGATTCCTTGATTTTCCGGGCCGCCTCCTCTCTTTCCAGTGCCAGTTGTCGTTTTCGTTCCTTCTTCTCCCAATCCTGGATTTTCTTCTCGGCAATTTTTCGAGCAATAAAATTGTTCGATTGCAAATCGGGCAATGCTTTCTGGATTTCGGGAGATGAGAGTGTTGATTGGACCAAAGGTTTGAAGGAACGTCGTGTCTCCGTGTCTTTTGGTTGATCGTCAAAGACACTCGATGCCACATCGATCGTGCCGTAAACAGTTTCCTTGAACGCATCAAATGCAGTGGATTTGCTCTGATCCTGTGCTGGGGCGGGTGGTGCTACGGTTGACCTTTCTCGGTACTGATTCATCAATCGCTGTCCCGGTGACAAAACACTGTTGGATTCCTTCAGAATAGTAGTTTCTGTTTGACGGTATCCTTCTTCTACTGGCAATTCGGAGGACTTCGATTTGAGGGCGGCACCAATGGCTCCAACACCATCCACTGTTCCATAGACAGCTTTCTTTAATGACGCCCATCCATTCAGACCTTCCTCTTGATAACTTCCTTTCTTGATTGCATTGCTTCCTCGGCTCGAAGATACTTGAAATTTCTCAATTTGATCTTTATCAGACTTGGCAGAAGAGGATCGAAGCTGTGACACAGATACTCGTTGCTGACGACTCAAAAACAAAGGATCAAGGGCAGTGAAAGCCGCCACGATGGGAGCTGATAACGCCCACAGGGCAAAGAGCGGAGGGAGCTTCATGGTTGTTGGCCCCAGTATACTACTACAAGAAGCTAGACAGTGCCGGGTTGGATTGGTGTTGGGATACTACAGTCGTAGTATTTCGGTGACCCAGTTACCACCCGTGCTGGACCCGAACACCCGAACGCATTTCTTCAAAGATACCAAACATCCGCAATAATATTCGTGTTTTACTTTAGGATTGTGTGAGCCAGCTAGTAGTCGAAGCCTTAGCTTTGCTAACTTGCTCGACCCTTTGTGGTTGGATGGTTGGTTGCTTGGATTGGTCAGCTGTTTGCTACCATACCGGTAGATGATAGAGCCACCGGTACGGTAGTGATTGTGAGATGATAAATGTGCCTACTGAAACTAAAATACATTTAGTTATGCAGTCTGGCGTGTTATTAGCAGCTGGCAGTGCCTTATTCTTTCTTTAGGTGGTCTGATTTGACGTCTTCCTTCTTGGTGAAGACCATTGTTGCTTGCAGAACGGCTGCGCACCAGAAGGATGCACTGACCAGCTTGAATACATCCGCTGGTGCCATTACGTCTGTAGCATACGTCCCAGAGACGACAATAGCATTCAGGGGTAAACGAAAGATGTTGAGGATTCCACCCTGCAAGGCATCTGGTACGTATTTTGACCGCAGTGTTCCGGCCAATGGCATGAACAACCCAACGCAGAATTCCACCAGCATAAAACTCGCCACGATAGAAGTAAAGAAACCGGTGTTGTCCTGGCTGAGTGATAGGCACATGGCTGGAATCACCATGCATATACTTGCCAAAAGATAGACCAGAGAGGCACAGACCTCGGCCGCATTGGCCTTTGATACGACATATTTCGAGAGGACCATGTACAGAGGTGGGAACATCATTCCACCACAGGAGATTGCCATCATGAGTGCCGAAAAGACACATCCAGTAGGTAGCCCACCCGGAGGGTCCAGCGATAGAAGAGTTGGCACCCACATAAAGACAAACTAACCCATCCGACGAAAAAGGAGGAAGAAAGACAAGTCCAAAATGTGAGAAACTCTCCTCCAATCGTTGTCAAGACAAGAGAGTTCCTGCAAATATGTCGAGAATAGCAAAAAACCTACCGTGTACATGGCTCCCTCGCTGAGCGCCTGGGTCATCCCAATTCTCCAGATTCGTGAATCTGAAACGGTGGCGCTCCACCCTTCGATGAATTGGTGGTATAGAGATGATTTGCTGTGATCCCCGGCGTGTTCCTCTCCATAATTTTCGTCCCATCGTAGTATTAGGAAGAGTGCCAGGGCCGTCAGAGCAATGGCTCCCTGGAATGGCCCAATGTGCCCCAGGTTGTCCTCTAGAACTTGTGCCACAATTCCTGCGAGGACAGCCATGACGCCATTACCAACGGATGACTCCGAATAGGTTCTGGATAACCATTCCTCAGGGAATCCCTTCTTTCTGTGTTCCGTTGTCATCCAGCTTTCAAAGGCAGAGAAAAGTAGATTGGTGCTTATCCCTCCCAGGACCCGTCCAATGAGTAAGATTGTGAAATTTTGTGAATGTTCCATGGTGTTGATGATAATTTCGAGTACGCAATATACGATACAAGAGCGCTTTCTTCCAAACTTGTCGACGGCACTTCCCAAGAATGGCGCAAAGATGGCTCCACTGAGGAATCCCGTCAAGAACAGTGCACTAATGTTGACGTTGTATGACAAGTAGAGAGTGTACATGTGCGTTCCTTGCATCCAATCCGCCAGCATAATGACGAGATAGACGATCATATATTGGCGTCTAAAGACATCAAACTCCTCGTGTAGTTCATGTCTGTTTTTCTTTGCCTTGCCATTTCCATTTTCTTTTGTGGATTCCTCTTTCGTATTTTCTTCTGATTCGTCATCGATGTGGAAGAATGATGTGACACCATAGGTTACTGTGAGCATTCCCGTCATGACCAATAGAATATCCACTGCCCTGCAAGTCATTTATTTGTAATGGTACCAGTAAGGAGCACACAAGAAGAGGTAAGTTGGATCCAACAACGGAAAGGAAAAATGCATCATTAAACGACCTTACCATTCTGGCCAATCGGGCAGAAATGCCTTTGCGGGGCCCAAATACCGAGACACCATGGTTCAGGTCTACTGTGCTGCTGTAGCTCTTGAGATTGTTGAGAAGGAGATCGATCGGCGTCCCTTTTGACTTTGGCTTGACCTCGACCGGACCGGACTGTTGGGCTTTGGCTTGAGGAAGAAATGAGGACAATGACGTGCCACGGGGAGGGAGCGCCCGAATGTAGCCGTTGGAATTTTGTTCAGTGGCCACGATGTTGAAGCACTGTCTCTCTTCGCATTCGGTGGACAGTAGTTTTTTAAGGTTTTCTCGAGGGTTTTGTTATTGGCACCAGGGAGGTATCTTTTTTGTTTTCGTCAGGGTGCTTCCCGCCGAAAACATCAAAGCTTCATTTCTTCTTTGATAGCTCGATCTTATCTCCACATCTCAACCCCGCAGCACCTCGTCTCTTTGGTGCCACTACTGGCTAGACTACTAGTACACGTTTGGTGCTTTGGAGGGGCCTTCTGTGCTTGCATTGCTACCAAGCAACCATGATATCACCGAGTGTCAAGCGATCAATCTCAGTGGTTCCACCAGAGAACCAGGTAAGCCGTTAGTATGAAGGTTGGTTGTGTATTTGATCAATCTGGTGAAGATAAGAATTGGATCTTTGCCTGGTTGGCAGTTTCCGAATCGAATCTTGATGGTTCCTCATATTTTGATTCATTGTCTTATCTCGTGGTGTTGTTGTTGTTGTTGAATTATTGTAGAGTGGAGACGTTGAGTACAAACGCCATGTACACCATTCTTCAGTGACACGGTTACGGTCCTTGGCAACGCAAATGTCCTATAGGCTAGATGAAGGCAATGGCAGCTGCGTGTATCAAATCGGTGCGTAGCTCTGTACAGCTGTACAGTGTACATGCTGGTCTTGAAGGGAAAAGCCCACTTACTTGCGTCTCCTTGATGACGAATGATCAGGAGTGGAAGATGATGGGTGCCACTCTTTGATGGACTACGAAGCCGTTGCCGAATCGGCACGGATTCTTGGTGAGTTCCGTTTGCAGATGTGATTCGATTTCTCGGTGGAGTACCACTTCTCTGAACTCGCTCACACGATACCTAATACCATCCCATGTCTGCCAGAGTGTATTGCTCGCAGCCTCAACGCGGTGGTCTTGGAACGACGAATGATCCAAAATGAAGTGGTAAAGGATTCCGAGGGTAGCGTTGTCAAGGGCGACATCGAAGGTATCACTACCGTCGAGGAACCTTCCGTTTTTGAGCTGAAAAAGGACATGCCGTTTGAACATGAAGAAGAAGAAGAAGCACTACTAGCAAAGTCTCATCATCAGAATGGAAAAGCCAACGAAGATGATTATTCGGTAAGATTACAAAAAGAACCTGGATACTTCACCAGGTGCGAGATCACCATCCAACGAGTAGAGACGCATCTGTTAGACCCTTCACCTATTTCATTATCCGAATTGGCGGCTGATCCAAATGCATCAGTGACATGCAAACCTCCCGCTGAGGCGACATCACCGAGCAACAACGGAGGAACAACTAACAGTACACCCCAACCCAAAAAGGAAACCACGACCATTTCCGAGACACTATCTTCCAGAAACATTCGCGTGGCTGTCGTGGGAAATGTCGACGCTGGAAAATCGACAATTATTGGAACTCTCACAACTTCTAGTTTAGACGATGGTCGCGGGAAAAGTCGGACGTCCATCATGAGACATCGGCACGAAATCGAATCCGGTAGAACGTCCACGGCTACCACCCACTTGATGGGATTTCGGTCAACGGGTGAGCCCATCACAGGGAAGGATCAAGTAAGGGCTAATAAGAGAAAATCAGAGGACGAAATCGCCAGGGAGTCGTACCGTATCGTCACTCTGATGGATCTCGCTGGGCACGAAAAGTACTTGAAAACTACGTGAGTACATGTTGTCGAACCAAGTGGGTCAGGTCAAACAGCAGTCATATGCTGATGGCTTCTGTTGCTTACTCTGTGTTTTGTGATTTTAAGGATACATGGGGTGTCATCGGGAATGTCCGATTATGCATTAATCTTGGTCAACAGTCGTCACCCTCCAACGCATATGACGCAACACCATCTCAACCTGTGCTGCAGTTTTGGCATCCCTGTCATTGTCGTCTTTACTAAGATCGATGGATGTCCCGAGCATGCTTTCAAGACTTCCAAAGAGGAAGTCATGAAGCTGCTGAGGTCCCCTGAGGTGGGCAAAAAGCCCTTTGCTGTTAGGAATGAACAGGACGTCTCGACGTGCATGGGAAAACTCCACACACTAGCTCCGATGATTGAAACATCTTGTGTAACGGGCAAAGGGATAGACTTGCTGCAGAAAATGCTCTTCTCATTACCCAAACGGCGTCGCCACGAAAACAAGGCTAATCGTCCGTTCGAGTTCCTCGTCGAGGATATCTTTAACGTCCCGGGAGTTGGGGCTGTGGTATCTGGTTTCGTGAATGCCGGGGAGCTTTCGGTGGGAGCCAGCTGTCACGTCTACGTGGGTCCGACGGATGATGGCGGGTTCATGAAAACCGTTGCCAAATCTGCTCACATTGCGAGAATAAACACTTCTCACATCACATCGGGACAATCTGCTTGCCTTGCATTCTCATTAAACAAAGAGTTGAGGAAGAAATTGAGAAGGGGAATGGTGGTTCTGAAAGATTCTCCCTCTTCTACGAGGGAGTTTGATGCCGAAATCTGCGTTTTGAAAGGAGAAGGTACAACAATCCGTCGCTCCTACCAGGCCTACGTGCACATTCTCAACGTGCGTCAAAGCGCCTTTGCTCGCAACATTGAAATCGTCAACCACAACGCATTAGGGCTTCCCCCAAGTCATTCTGCAGCGAGGGACGACGAAACTGGGATCGTTTTGCGCCCGGGCAGCCGAGCCAAAGTCAGGTTCGAGTTTGCACAGCGTCCGGTAAGTCAGGTATTTCATGCAGACTGTTATCGCCATCGTTTTGTGATACCAGCTCATTAGACACAATTTTGATGGGTTCAGGAATATATCCGTCCAGGAATGCGTATGCTCTTCCGCGACGGTCGTGTTCGCGGTGTGGGAATCATCACCGCAATTCCCAAGGTCCAACCGGTGACGGCGTAAACTACAAGACGAAACTTAGGCTTGAGGATGCTCGTAGTGCCAAATGACCAAATGAAGCTCGAAATGACAATATACGTGAGAATCGAACCAGTTTTACTATTACTTTTGAGGGCCACCGCGCAGAACGACAACGGCATTTATTTATTTATAAGAACCAATTTCCATTGCAGCGAAAATGAGAGGTTTCTTTTCTTCTAGCTAGAATCTGCACCGTACCGAACCGTACGGTACATTTGAAGTGATCGCAACCAGAACCAACCATCGACTCGACTCAATTTCGTCAAACCGAGGGCGCTGTGCGCAAGCTACTAGTTGACACGATAGGATATTTACCAGCCCCAAAAGTCTGAATAGTTTTCGAGCTACTAGTATAGTAATTCAATATTCTCCTCTTCAAATCCTACATCTCTCCAAATTCTACATTCGAATTTCTGCTGCTCGCGAGCCGTAAAGAGCATCACTTCGTCACTTTCTTGTCCTTCTCTGGAGGCGGTTGCCAACTGAGACACTCTGGTTTACACAATCGTAATTTTTTTCTAAAGACGAGACAAGACAACACACAGTCGGACTCAGCTTCAGCGAATCACACCGAAGGAATAACAACATGCATTCACTTACTTCTGTTTCAAGTATGCGTTGATGGTATCTTGTTTGACATACACGACGTGTTGTCCCTTCCAGACCTTGATCATATCCAAGGATTGCAACGTGGAAATGATATCTTCTGTTTTGATTCCAGTTTGCACCGAAATTTCCTTGACCGACAGGTCTTTTGAAGTGTCGTGATCGCCAAGGAGGTGCAATAAGATGTGCTTCCAATAACTGCGGTAGGAAATCTTTCCAAGGTCCCTACAAGAGCAAACACTAAGGTGTGAATCGAATCTGATATGTCTCTCGGGGCAGACTGAGCAACTATGATATCCTACTTCACAGCACCGGTGGAGATTAACAAACAAACAAATATGATATCCATGCCAAAACTTACGAGAGAGGCTTTTCGGGGGATCCTTGTTTCATTTCCCGCTTGGACAATTCGTAGGATAGAGAAATGATGAATTTGCCAAATCCTTGACTCTGATACTGCGGGAAAGTAAGGATACACGCCAAGTTATACTCTTCAGCCGAAACCTTTTCTTTGGAGAAGTATCCAACAATGTGTGCTCCTTTATCGTCCACGGATGTAATGATGTAAAAGAGGAATGGTTCTACATCATAGTAGAGAGTCTTGTGGTCCAAAAATAGCTTTGCCAGCAAACAAAGGTTCTGACAATAGACACGATTCTCCTTTCCGTCGACCTCAAAGACACTGAGTTTGTCTTCCCTGTAAATTTCAGTGCCGGGAGGCCTCCTCCATGTGCATTCCGCTTTATGTTTCTTGAGGGTCTTGGCTTTCCGCATGTACTTTAAGCAATACTCGCACACGTACAAGACCGTGGATTCCTGTGAATATTCCTCAGGATAAGGACTGTAGTACCAAGCTTCGACCTCCCAGGCGCCCATGACAATGCTAGCAATATTTTTCACTTTGGTGGCCTCCTCGTGTTCTTCTTCCAATTGTTTGAGAGAAGGATCCCCGCTGTGTCCAACCGGCCAGTTGCCGCCAGTCAAAGAAAGGGAGGCTCCGTCACCGGATTTATTTGTCGTCTGTGAAGTACTGCGCCTTCTACTGGGCCGTGGTTTGTTGTTTTCATCCTCGTTGGAAGTCCTCTTTTTCATCATGTCTTCTGCTCTCTGGAGTGTTTCGAGCAGAAACTTGTCCAACTTAATCCACTCGTCCAAGCGCCGATCGTGTTCGGTGTAATGCACATAGTATTCAACTTCTTCTGGCTTTAACGTTTCAATGTCAACAGCCGTGGCAGTTGCGGCACTGCCCTTTCGCCGCTTTCGGCTTCCCTCTAGTAGAGGGCGTCGCTCCACGACCCTTGCCATTAGCACCTGTTCCCCGTCTCGCCATCGAACATTACAGTGGTCTCCAATTTCCAATGGTTTCTTGAGACCAACTTCAGCAGTTTCCTCCGTGGCCGGCTCAGCCTTGGTTTCGGCCATTTTTCGCTAACAGATTCGATTCGCTCACAAAAGACAACCAACTATAGGTTCGAGCCTATCAGTAACGCAGCCTGGGAGGTTAGAAAGGACGATGGTATCCTGGATTGAATCAAGAGATCGGTTTATGGCGTCTTTTACGGTATCCGATATCCTGCCACCGTGTTTTGGATGCTCAAGCCTGCAGGGCTACCTGAATGCTCCTTTCGTCCTGACAGGTTCCACGGTACGACTGTACCGTACTGTACGGTACCTGGTACCGGTACGGTACCAGTAACGCAGGCAAGACATACATGCATGGCAACACTGCTCCATATGTACTACATGTAGCTAGCTAGCTAGCATGGCATTCCTTTCTCATTTCGTCAATCAACTCAACACGATCTCATCTCATTCATTGATCTTGTGGCTGCTCTCTGGATTCTAGCTAGCTAGCCATCATTCTTCAATTCATAGCTTCAGCTTGCACTCGGCCCAAGCTGGAATGAAGGGGGATCCTTCTCTGCATACTGTAGTACTTTTGACCCCTTCTTTGATCTTGGCAACCCAGCCCTCACATTTCTCGATGGCACCACGCATCTTCCTCTACATGTACACCACCCACACCCACATCTTGGCACAGCAACCTTCCCAAAACTGCTATAACCAGCCAACTTCAATCTGCCCCCAAAGCTCTGCTCCCAGCCACATACCAGTATAGTACTTCTCTCCACTCATTTTCCAACAAGTCACATCTGTCCCCTGGTCTCCAAGAGAATGGGCTCGCCAAACTCTAGCTTTCAATAATACCCTATGTCTACCCACCTTGTCAACCACCTACCGGTACCGTACACCTTGTTATCCACATCATCCAAAACTTTCTTTTGCTCTGGGTCCATGTACGGTCGTACCGGTACCATACGTATCCAGCGGACGTGCTGCCTCTCAACCCCTGGTACCATGGGGCGAAAGCATTGGAGGTTATTACTACAGTCACACGATTTCATGGTTTGTCACTCATGTCGGCACACGTGTATGGTACCCGCCCCCCCTACGCCTACCTCCCATACGTCACCGTACATCTAATGCTACGGTATCTAGCAGACGCACCGGTATGTCTCGGGAGCTATTACTACCAGTTTTCGATAAAGTGATTTTCTTTCTCGTTAGTCTGCTTTGGTTGTTGGTTGCGTTGGCGACATGACATTGTGTTGACAGGCCGCAATTTGGAGAGCTGCTGCCATTCAAGGTGATTTAGAGCCTCTCGCTAATTAGAACATGTTACCCATCATCATCATCGCTGCCAACACCACTGGTTTCATGCAGCCCTACGACTCCGCGACGGGCTGGTAGTTCAAGAGAATCTCGCCGATCAGATAGCGGTCGTCGCGAGCCGTTTTGTGCACCGCACTGAACCAACGCTGAATCTGACTTCGAAAGGCGTGACACAGCTGTAGCAAAAGAGTTGACGCAGAAGCAAGACGGAAAATGTACAGCCGAAGAATGCCGGAAACTGTGAAGGACGGCGACGTGAAGAAAACGATTCAAGGTTAGTTTCGTTTCAAACAATGAATGCGACAAAACAACATTCAAACTACGTACTCTCGCTCAAGCCAATGGTGGCTTGGATCGATCCAAACCAAAGTGAATAGCACAGTGAAGGTGCCAAAAGAAGCAAACCGAGGCTCTTCGATACCGGAATGGCGCATTCATTCAGCAGCACCTCGTGGTCAACTGTGTCCCATTCCCACAGTACAATGACGGATTTCCAAACGGCAAAGAACTTTGCAACCTTTCCATCTTTGCCTTGCCAGCGTGGTCCCTGGTCTTGTTGATCCTGAGCGCCGTTCTCTCTGCGTCCTCGCTGGTTTTCGCCTTCGATCTCAACAATACCATTGCCAAGGTTCACCCAAAACTCTTTCGTGAAGACACTGAGACTGCAACAGCATGCCCAAGTGTTCAACAAGATGGATCCCACCATCCAGCTAAGGAAAAAGCCTTTCGTGTCCATCAAGACTTCCTCTCCAGCAAACCAAGCTGCACTCTTGATAAGGCACAACTCATAAGAAAGACCTAAAGCCAAGGGGCACAGGACAAACCAACACAACCCCGCCAGGAGCACAACGCGACCCTTTCGTTGAGGAGGCAGCCGCATTGAGCCAATCCAATCAATTAGACTCTCTGACACAGAACTGTCAGAGGAAGACATCAGCAGAGAGCCCCCTCGTGCCATTATTGGAAACGCAAGAAGACTTCCGATTGCGAACAGCCAGGGCATGTGAATGTGTGTGTCCGGCACACGAAGGAAGAAGAATACCAATCGTCCAACCCCGAGAGGTGTTGCAACGGCAGAAACCAACAGGCATGTTGTCGCACACCAAGATAAAAACAGAAGCACAATGAATCTGGCAGTCAAATTGGCCAGTGTCATGTTCGACAGTCCACAAGGGCCAAAGATTCGTGGCCGATGGGCGACTCCGTGCTCGATGCCCGACTGTTTTTCCTTCCCCCAAGCCCATCTTCCTTGGATGTCTGCCCCGCCCGCACCAAGATCATCCCAGCCTTCGGGTGGCCGCGGGATTGGCTTCCCAGATACCTCTTCCCAAATCTCAATGGCTAGTTCGTTTGTTGGGTCCTCTCTTTTCTTCAATCGGAACCTTCCTAACTTTGTTGGCAGAAGTACCACCCCATCGCTTGCGCCTGATTCGTCTGTGGCGCTGGTGCCAGAAGGGGACTGGCTCGGCAGTGCAATGAATGCATGTGTTTCTTTCAGCACTCGCTCACCGTTTTCCCTTGTCTCTCCGGGTATTTCTAGCCGCAACGTTGCATTGATGTTTTTCATGTTCTCGCGTATCAGCTCTTCATGGTCGCCCTCTCCCGATGCCAGGTCGTGAAGCGATTGGTTTGAATCTTCGGCTGATACTGGAATGTAGCCAACCAACGCAAACTTTTCAATATCGTGAGGGAGCATGTATTGGGATAGCCCCATTCGAGAGCACATGAATACCAGCCAATGGTGTTGCATCTCCCCGATGGAGTTCTTATATCTCTCCAGCAAAGCCAGCATTGATAGATGGAAAAACAACAGTTCGAGAGGAACCTGCAATTGCGGCATAATCATGTACCAAAACCTGAGTTTCAGGAAAGGCATGAGCTCTGAAATTCCGGTTGTAGTTAGGATTTGTACTGGAAGAGACACGTGCAACACCAGCAAAACAGTGTAGATTCCTGCAGAAAGGACAAGGCCATTAGACAAACCGAGCCAGAGGGATAATCCTCGATAACAGCAATACGATCACGTACCCAAGGATAGAAGCATCCGTTTCGTTTGTGCGAACACGCTGTCATGCAGCAAATTGCCAAGAAGATCTGGCTGTGGTTCTTGCGGCCTGATGAGGTGTGCTAGCAAGTCTGCGTGCGCGACCTCTCTCAGTTGTAAGACTGGTGATGTTTGATCGCCGTTCCAAAAGGCAAAATTGAGACAGGTGAGCAAAAATTTCGTCGACTGTGCCATCGAGCCATGCGACTATCACGCACCTGATACAGTGACCAATAGCATAAATGTAATTCCCGCCACCCAGTGCAACAAGATGAAGGAGAAGACGTCTCTCCCCGCGTAGACAACGCGATCTTCGGCACTGGATCCAAACAAATCCATAGACGAAGCGTCCAGCCATATGCCAAGTAGGACAGGAAGTAGAAACATCTTGAGAAAAAGCAAAATCCCAACCTTCACAACGGCAATTGTCGCGTCTAGAATGAGTCCTACGGCCTCTCCCAGTGCAATGCCTGGGTGTTCCAATCGATCCGCAGCTGCCTGTCGACGGTTAAAGTCGTGATCACCGATACCTGCATCTCCAATGCGACCGGCAGGGTCGCCGTGCACGTCTTCGTCCTGTTGACCATGTGCAGCTTGAGGCGGCACTACCCTTGGCATCCCGTGATTGTCGCTTGTGGGCAAACGGCGGAATTTGAGCAGAAACAGCCAGCTGTAACGAATCAAGATGACGACTCCAGCACAAAAGAAGTATCCCAGGTTGACAGCGGCAAAATCTGACAACTGGAAGACAGTATTTCGTTTCTCACTTTCGTCGTTGACAAGAGCTATCGCTGACACGAGGGTAAGGCTTGTTGCGTTTTCCGATTCCACTTTTTCAAAGGCTGTTGTGTTGAATAAAGTCGAGTACACTGCGGATCCGATTGTCCTTGGAACAAAGGTGAAGAAACCCAGATAAATGGTATTGAAGACAAGCAACCACAATAGATTTCTCAGCAGCGAGCTAAGTGGGCCTCGCAAACCCAAGAGTTCGTCGAGTGCCACGTTGATTTCCATATCCTGCTTGCAAGGAACGGGAAAGAAAAAGTTAGCATCGCCCATGGACCACACTGGTTACACTGAGTACGCAAACGTGTCATGCTCACCACTTGGTCCTCTGGCAAAGGAGGGTCCATGTCCATGGCATCCAGGCGTCTGTCAGGACGAGGAGGAACGACCCTTGCGTTGTCTCGTGGCGGTTGAGGATGCGCATTGTCGTTGTTTTGATTTTCCTGGTCTGCATTGTTGTTTTCTTCTGCCTCTTGTCTCATTCTTTCCTCTATGGCATTAGCGTTGTTGTTATTGTCGTCTTCCTCGCCACCATTTCCGCCTTCATTTTGGGCTACATTTTCTGCATTTTCGTCGGGAGCAGCAGCTTGCTCGCTGTTTTCTACGTTGTTGTTGTCACCTTGGTTCTCCTGTTTAGGATCAGTGCCAACTTGAACGTCGTCATTCTGTATTTCCTGTTCCTGTTGTTGTTGTTGCTGGGTGTCTCTGCGTGCTCTGAGCTCATTGAGTCTATCTAAGAGTGCATTGTCCACTTCATTTTGTTGTCGATTGTTTTCTTCTTCTGCGCCATTTCCTGCTGCTTCTCGTCTGATACGAGGCTCCGGTTCAGGTGGATCTACTCGATGCTGCTGCTGCCACTCCACTCTTAGGAAGTCTGCAAAGCTCATGAGACTCAAAAAGCTGACCAAAATTATGGTCATGAGGACAGCGCCGCTCACCGTGTCCGCAGGAAGCAGCTGCCATGTCCATCGTTCAATGACACGCGACAAGGACCTCTTTACCCAGAGGTGATACAAATAAGCAGTAGAAAGAGGCGCAATGACCAGCCAAAGTGATAAACAAAATGCCAGTCTCAAAAGGAAGGGCAACCACCGAGCCACGGCACTGCGTGACAACCCCAGCAACACTTCCGACACGGAGAGTCGTTCTGGAGCATTCTCAGCATATCGTGGAGCGAAATGAAATTTGACTTTGCAGAGTTCGCAGCGACCTGGAAAGGGAATGCCACGGGATGTGCGTGCAGCAGATGAGACAAAAAGACTTCGCTCAAAATGTACCAGAAACAGCCATTCTCTTCTCACCTTCACCCCGCGTCACTGATAGCCACGAAGTCAAGCAATCCTGATGAACCAGTCCAATGGATCCCGAGCATTTGCACGGAGAAAAGAGTGGCCGTCTAGTAGTAGAATTTGGTTTACAAGAGGTGAGTAGACGGCACGATTCCTACCACGGCTTGTTCTGCAGATATGACTATACGTACCCCTCTTCCACTGGTCCTCGGCAGACTCGACACTCGTACTCCTCCTCTTCGGAATCCGATGGCGCCTTGTCGGCGTCCTCTTCCACACTCGAGGTTGTCGGTTCGGGGTCTTGGTCTACTTCCGTCATCTTGCTTTGGTCTGCGGTCTTTTTTGTCGAACTCGCAAGGCGCTCTTGGCTTTGGGCTTTGGGCTCTTCTGGAAAAAGGATTTAAAGCGGTACTCAAAGCGTCTATCACTAAATCTTCCAGGTCATGGTGAATGACCCAGAGTTCCAACGTCATTCTCTTCCACTTTCCAACCAAACACTCTCACCACTCTCACAATGCGATTTCGATGAAGGACGAAAAGACGGTTGATTGATTCTCATAGCCTCTATCCTCTATTATTTATTCAATCAATCGAAGATGACGGACGGCGGTATAAACCTTGGCGCGGCACCCGCAACCTCCCTTGGCAGCAATGACCTGCACAACCATTCCGGTCCTCCACCTAGAGACCTGTCCAACCCTGCTGGGGCCGTCATAGTCGACAATCCGATGCCCCATCGTCTGCCAGAGGGAGAGAATGCGGCTCCTCTGGAAGTTATTGGAACGACAGCTTCGGACAAGCTGGTCATTATCATGGTCGGGCTTCCTGCTACTGGCAAGACACACATTGCAAAGCGCATTTGCCGCTTTCTTTCCTTCTTTCACGATATTCCGTCCATGTTGTTCAATGTGGGCGACTACCGCAGACAGCTCTTTGGTGCCAAAATGCCAGCCGATTTCTACGATCCATCCAATGCAGAAGGTCTCGCTTCCAGGACCATGGCATGTGATGCTGCATTGGCTGATCTCATTGATTATGTCAAACAAGACGGGGTCCGAGTGGCTGCGTTTGATGCCACCAATTCCACTCGAGAACGTCGTCGTCATATTATGCAGAGGCTGAAAGATGCCGGCCTGGGGGCCAAACGGATGTTTGTGGAAAGCATCTGCGACCAGGAGGGGCTCTTGGAAGAAAATATTCGAAAAGTCAAGCTCAGCACACCCGATTATCGTGACATGGATCCTGAAGAAGCCGTCATTGATTTTAAAAAGAGGAGAGAAAACTATCTAAAGGTCTACGAGCCCATTGATGAGATCGATGGCCCACACGTCAAAATCATCAATTCGAAAAAGTTCATTGTTTGCAACATTCGCGGCTATCTTCCCCTTAAGGTACGTCCATGCCGTGTAAAATTATGTTGTCAGTCCGTGGTGTTGGCTTTTCGGACACGTTGTATCCATAATCATCTTGTTTCCTTGTAACAGGTGGTTCACTTTGTGATGAACTTGCATACCCTGCCTAGAACATTCTACCTCACTCGGCACGGACAGTCCGAGTACAATCTGTTGGGAAAAATTGGCGGAGATTCAGGACTCACTCCCGCCGGTACCGAGTATGCTCGTCGTCTAGCTCTCTTTGCCAAGGAGTACATCGCCAATGACGCAGAGGAGGACCCGAGCACGGGTGAAGAGGTTAAGACTGCTCGACCAGCACGTCTCTGGACTAGTACCCTTCGGCGGACCAAGGAAACTGCTCAATTCATCGAGCATAACACCATCCACCATACATACGACAATGGAGACACTATCGCTTGGATGCAGTTCCGGCCGATGGCTCGGCGCAACCTCGACGAACTTTACGCTGGAACCTGTGATGGAATGACCTACAAAGAAATTGAAAAGGTGTACCCAGACGAATTCGAACGCCGTCAGAGAGACAAGCTGGCCTACCGTTATCCACGAGGTAAGCACCCTGATTGGGTGGAGCATTGAATTCAGCTGTCTCTTGCTCCGTTCATGATGTGTCTCATGTTTTCTTTTGCGTCAATCAACGTTGCCTTAGGCGAGTCCTACATGGACGTCACGTTGAGATTGGAGCCCCTCGCACAAGAAATGGAGCGCACCCGAGAGCCTGTATTGATCGTGGCGCATCAAGGGATCCTTCGTATCTTATACGCCTACTTCATGGGGTTGGACCGTAAGGAAGCCCCGTACGTGAGCATTCCTCTCAACAATGTGATTGAGCTGACTCCGCATGCTTACGGATGTAATGAGAAGCGCTTCTGTCTGATGGCGAAAGAAGAGATGCTGAACGATGGACAGGACGAGCCTGGTAGGTGCATGAAACTACATACGTGTGTTGACTATACTTTGCCACCATTATCATCTCATCTTGAACACACTCTTTCTTTTCCTTTGCTAGTAACCTCAATGCCAACAAAGCGCAGGAGCATTCATGGAACAACTGCAGAAGCAGTCCCTGCTACACATTATTCCACTGATCCCGTGATGAACGCACCCAGTTGCTAAGTTTTGTCATTGGGATCGCAAGGCCCCACTTTCAAGAATTTCCTAGCTAGATTTTATTGTGTAGAACATAAGTGATAGATGTCTGCCGAATCGAATCTGTGCTAGTAGTAGCTGTGGCGAAGTTGTACAAGTTGTACCACACGAACTTGCTGGTGAATCGTCGAGGTGTGTAGCTTTCAGCAGAGTTCAAGTTCAGTTTCAAACCTTGCTCTAAACTGGAGCAGTAATTGCCACTGCCACTGAGTACTTCCGTATAAAAAATTGCTTGTACTACATGTACCTTGCTGGCTAACTACGAAACAACAACACAATGGGCTACAATTCGTTTGTGAACCAACAGTACCTAATCATCTTTACTTAAGCAACAAGCAGACAAGCGCCACCAGCCTCCTTGATCTTTCGCTCTGCCAATTTGGAGAAGTATTTAGCCTTGACAATGACGGGGACCTTGATTTGTCCATTGCCCAGGAGCTTGAAATATCCCTTTGATACCAGATCGACAACGGGAGCCTTTCCGCCTCCGCTCTTGGCTGCCTCGTAGACTCCTTCGCCAGCAACATTGAAGATTTTGTCAATGTTGATGGTGGGTGTGTAGTTCCTGTTCCTCAAGACATGGAATTGACGCATACCAACTTTTCCAAAGTAACCAGGGTGATACTTGTCCATCAAGATGCGGTGGTGATGTTGACCTCCAGCATTACCACGTCCACCAGGATGCTTACGGTGCTTTCCAATACGACCGTGACCACAGGAGACATGGCCCCTCTTTTTTCGTGCCTTATGTGCTCGGGTTGGCATGTTGGGATGCTACTGCAGAGAGAGGGATAGGACGCTGAACAAGAGGAGGGGGATAACTATCGTTAGAAGACTGTGATGAGCGATCCAATTCTGCTCTACATTGACCACGACAACACCATCATCGACAGTCGTCTTACCTTGGTGGCTATTCACTGTCAACAACAGTAGTGGGCGTTGCTTGGGAAAGGTAGAAAATCGCCTTGCCTCAAGTGATTTTAGTAAGGGGTAACATACTTTCGTGACTGGTAAGTCACTCTCCGGACTGCTGAGTCCTGAATGCGCAGTAATCGCACAAATTTCTTGGGTGGCCCCCGACCTTACCGCTTTACTAACAACCAACGAAACGGCAACACCCCAACCACATCAAGTTGCCCAAGGTTGGAACACCCGCTCCATCGTTGTACTTGTTGTTTTGGTTTCAGTATCGTACTAGTAGCACCATGGCGCCATCCCAATCAGTTCAAGTCTTCGGAAAGTAAGTAGACAGAGGTGGACTATTCAGTTGTGTAGGGGAGAATCCGTAGGAACAAGGAGATCTGACAACTTTTTCTCTTGTCGTGCCTCTCTAGGAAGAAAACCGCCACAGCAGTGGCCTTTGCCAAGCAAGGTCGGGGTTTGATCAAGGTTAATGGGCAGCCCATTGAGAATGTGGAACCAGAGGCTCTTCGCCTGAAGGTCTTTGAGCCTGTCCTTGTGGTCGGACAAGACAAGTTCTCCAACCTCGATATTCGCATCCGCGTCAAGGGTGGAGGTATCACTGCACAGATCTACGCCATCCGAGCGGCTATTGCCAAGTCCATTGTTGCCTACCATGCTAAATACGTCGACGAGAGCTCAAAGAACGAGCTTCGAAAGACCCTCATCGAATACGACCGAAACCTGTTGGTTTCTGACCCACGTCGCTGTGAACCCAAGAAATATGGTGGTCGCAGTGCCCGTGCCAGGTTCCAAAAATCTTATCGTTAGAGAAATAGTTTACTTCCTATCCACGACAATTCGTCTACTATATGCAGAGTGTTGCTTATGTTGGTGTGGCTAGCTATTTGCATACATTTTCTTTATTGGGCTAGGGGGAGTAGGAGATAGCTGCCTCCCATCAGACAAAGGGTCTTGCCTCTGCGGTCTGCTTTACCCTACTAGAGCGATGTAGCCAGGAAGTAGTCCTCGTCTGGATTGCCGAACTGGAGTACCAGGAACAGAATAGTTGCAGTGGTACAGCGTATCTGGATCGTCTGGTGGGTGCTGCTGGGGCGGACAGTCTGGATCACTTGATGTTTGCTCTGGAGGTCCATGGAGTTCTGGAGGTGCGAAGCCAGTTACACTTCTGCTTCTCCAAACGCCAGAGGGGAATGCACTCCCAAAACTAACACTGGTTCAACGTGCAAATCAAGGCTGAGAGGCACTGCCCTCCACCATGTTGTGTTTGCAGGTTCTACCTGCTCACGCTCAGTCAAGGCTCTTGCCCCTGCACTGTTTTATTGCCTGACTGCTCTGATCGCATTGCGTTTACCAAGTGCCAACTTTCCAGGGACCCGATACCTTGCCCTGGTCGTGAGAGAACCGTTATAGAAACACTTGAATAAAGAAAAAGGCAGTCACAGAAACTTCTACAAAAGGGGCATGACATGCTTGCTTCTGTCCAGCAGTCAAACTGAATGATACAATCCGTAAACGCAGGAGACAAGTGGGAAACAGATCCCTGCATTTTTAAACTTTTAATGCACTCGAAAGTGCCCTACACTTCCAGCCATAAACGACTTTTCTCTCCTATGATTTTCACTTTTAATGCACTCGAAAGTGCCCTACACTTCCAGCCATAGAAACGACTTTTCTCTCGAATCAACTCCATATTCAACGGCAGACACCAAGTCCGTCCAATTCGTACTGTAGGAGTAGAATGTTTAGAGCTGTCCACTGGCAGAAATCATGACCTTGGATCGGGTAGCACCAGATTGGGATCCAACACCCTCAACGGCCTTGACGACGTCCAAGCCCTCAACAACCTGTTGTTTCGGCAACAGCAAAATTTATCATTAGAACATGTATGTCATTCATCCTCTCCGCTCAAGAGAACCAGAGCAAGGCTCACCTTTCCAAAGACAACGTGCTTTCCATCAAGCCAGCCAGTTTCGGCAGTGCAAAGGAAGAATTGACTTCCGTTGGTGTTGGGTCCGGCTGAGAAAGTCCAGGAAGAAAGCAACGAATAAGCGCGAAGACACAAAAAGAAAGGCATTGTCACTTCAAACCACCTTATTAATGATAAGACTCACCATTGGCCATACTCAAAATACCGGCACCAGTGTGCTTGAGCTGGAAGTTTTCATCAGCAAACTTGTTTCCGTAGATGGACTTTCCTCCAGTACCTGTGGTTGATAACGTCGATGAGGGGAAGTTGGTCAGCACAAGGACCAAAGTAAAGGGCACATTAAAATTGAATGATTAGACTTACCATTGTGGTTGGTGAAATCTCCTCCCTATCACCAAGATAGAAAACAATAAATTGCATCGTGAGACCATACATGTATAGTTGATATGATCACATGATTATCTTCTGACGCGAGAGCTTTAACTTACCTGACACATGAACCCAGGGATGACACGGTGGAAAGAGGAGCCAGAAAATCCAAATCCCTACAGGTGAAAAGATTAAGAAGTTAATGACTATCACGAAACCACGGCATGACAAGACACAGGCCGGGACTGTGTATCGTTACACTACCACGCCCCCTCGCAACATCGCAGCAGCGACATACCTTCTCCCCAGTGCACAGAGCCCGAAAGTTCTCAGCGGTCTTGGGGACAACGTCGCTGTTAAAATCCAAAGTGGAAGCACGACCAAAGTCAGAGAGGGTGGAGGCCGAATCTTGGTGGCAGACATTCCAGATCCAATCGAAATCCCTTACCTGCGAAGCTCCATGACGATGCGTCCGGCAGGGCTGCCGCCAATGGTGATATCGAAGTAAACCTTGGGAAGAGACCTGGAAATGGAGATTGGAAATTGGCAATAGGAAGAAGAAAGGTTGAGAACCCAGGCTTTAAAATCACCGACAACCCATTGACTTTGTTGCTTTCTAATGGTTTCTCATTCACAATTTCTAGAGATGCTACCCCAGCTCTGACCATGGCCGGCCAGCCATCCAAACAACAGCTCGGAGAACTTTACAAACAAACAACCCGCCTCAAACCGCGATGACTTACATGGTGAATTCAAACGAAGCTAATAACAATCAAAAGTAATTAAAAGTGACCGATGCTATGGATGTTTCGAGAAAGAGGCAAAGAGGCTTCGGATATCTTTTTGATGATCGCTTTCACTCCAAACGCCGATGCAGGACAGCTGCTGGCCAATACGATAGACTCCTATCGTTCCGTTTCCTCCAAAGATTTTGCACTGTCAGCGCGCACGTGCACTTCCATTCAGGTCCCTCGTGTTGCGTCAGTCGACCTCTTATCAAAAGCCCTAACTCTAGCTTGCTACCTCTTGCCAATTACTAAAACCTCCGAGTTGCTTCCAGCCGAGGGTTGAGAGGGCGAACGGACGACCACCGCCATCTTCATCTATCTCTGTTGGAACTTGTTATCGTTTCTTCTTGACTTTACTTCAGATACTACATTTAGATTAGAACAATGGCGATCGTTAGTAAGTTTCCGCAACGGAACGGGCGAGATATTGTACGGTGTGATTGCGTCTCTCCTTTTGGGTATCTGACCTTGCTTCTTCTTCTACTCTTGACGACATGTAGAGGCTGGAAAAGTAGTAATAGTCCTTGCAGGACGTCATGCCGGAAAGAAGGCTGTCGTTGTCAAGACCTTTGATGAAGGAAACAGTGAGAAGCGCTTCTCTCACTGCCTCGTCGCTGGATTGGCCAAGACCCCACGTAAGGTCACCCGAGCCATGGACAAGAAAAAGGTCGAAAAGCGATCCAAGACCTTGAAGCCCTTTGTCAAATACATCAATGTCCGTCACGTCTTCCCAACACGATATGTTGTCGATCTGGATTTGAAGAAGGCTGTTGACGAGGAAGATCTTGTTGATCCTGAACGAAAAGTGGATGTCAAGAAGAATTTGAAGAAACTCTTCCTGGAACGCTACATGAACCAAAAGGACGTCACCAGTGAAAAGAAAGCCCAAGGAAGCAGTTACTTCTTCCAAAAGCTGCGATTCTAAACAATCCACAGTTTGCTTCCTCCAATCTTCAGTACTTTTTCTAATAATAAGGAATTCAACTTCCACCCTCCTAATGATGCATTGTCTATGCAACGCTGGCAATTGGCTTTCTACTTTATGTGTTTGCTGCATTTGTTCTTGTAGCTAGCTAGTCATCAGCTATGTTTGGCATCGTTGTGTAGTCACCAACGAACCACTACAAGCTAATGGACTCGCGGTGTCGTAGTCTAATGTACGTCAATCAGCCCAATGGATGCAGTCGGATCGGTGATGGATCTTTATGTCCTACTAGCTAGCGAGCTTAAGTAACAATGAAGCAAACAGATGAATGCATTTAGTGGGGTTGGTGATGGACCGACATGTTCCTACTAGCTAGCAATGAAGCAAGGAGCTATTATTTACATACCGGCACCGGCACTACCAGTACATGTAGCTTAACTGGCAACCGAAACTGAACCGAAGGTCCTTCAGCTGCACCTTTTGGGGACACGAACCGGAACACTTTCACAACACATCAATCACATTCACAGATTGCTTGTTACGTCAAGTCTAACGAGCAGAAAGTCGTTTCTTCACTACTTTTGCATGGATTCTAGCGAGTCCAAGTCTCCCTTATTGTCCGAAGATTCTTGCTTTAACAGTTTTTGCACCTTCCACCGGAAAATTGGGTTTGACCGCACCTCTTGGAGCATGCTATTGAATTCAGTGGAGTCTAGTCCATTTTTCTTGACCACATCTTCTGCTTGCAATGGAAATGCCTTGACCACAGCACGCACTTTGGGGCTCAGAAATGGCAATAGAGTTGGGTCGCTGATACTAATGCTTGACGGAAAGGTTTCTACCTGTAGAGACTTTTTCAACCGATCCACTTGATCTCCTCTCAGTTTTTCGATATCCTTGATGGATTCGCAAAAGAGCCGAACTTTGTCCTTTTGAAAGTTGCTGTTGGACTGCGTAGAGAGTTCCACCTGATCAAGATTGACCATCGCGGCCATTCGATACAGATATGCCTGTTCCATGACCTTGGAAAAAGAAGAAACCAATTATTGAGCGCTGCACGATACTAGTACCCGTAGTCTAGCTAGATGTCTAGACGCGACCAAATGGCCCATTCCTTCCAAAGTTCCTACCTTTTCTTTCAGGTTTTCGTCCCTGGATATTTCCCGTCCCAGTTCATTGAATCTGTCGACTGACATTCCCATGGCACGTAGCACTCTTCCCGAGTTGGCTTGATACTGATCGGCAACCTTTCGTTCCCGTTCTTGTGGATCTTCTGATTTTTCCGACGGTGATCGTTCTACTAATGCCTGGTCTCTCATCCTCCGGAGACCTTCTGTAGCAGCCAGACAAGCAGCGAATCGATTGTACTCTGCTTCATCGGTGCTGAATAATGATGGCATTCGACTATCGGCTCCGCCAGGAGTGAATCGCTTCATCAAGCTTTGATCGACGGCAGTCCCTCCACGCACTTTAACACTGTCTGGCGGTGGAGGAGGTGCCGATATTGATGGCATCCCCGCCACATTGTGCAACAGCAGCGAGAAGGCGACGAGCAACGGGACCCTCATTTTTGTTTTGCAGAAGCTTCATGTTGTTTGCTTTCTTCGAACAATCGGACGTTGGACATTTGGCAGTTCTAAAGGTATCCTGAACTCTAACTATGTGTTAGAGTGAAGGCTATGCTTTCTGAGACGTGCATCGATCGTGTCCGAAGGCTTCAGGACCATTCGTCGCCGTGCTGGTTTGGTTTTTCGGATCTCCATCTTATCTCTCTCACACAACCCAAAGAACACAAGAAGAAGTCAACGAGGAAAAGTAAGAGAAAAGTAAGATGGCCACTCGCTGTGTTTTCGAGAATACTCATGAAATCGGCGTGTTCGCCGCTTTGACCAACTCCTATTGCCTGACCGGTAAGTCCGAACTGTTGCTTCAGTGTCCACGTTGGCTTTTGTTGCCATCTTTGATTCTCTCAATTAACCGTACCCTTCTTGACTTCCTTGCTGTGTTGACCAGGCGTTGGTGGGTCTGAGAATTTCTACTCGATATTCGAATCAGAGCTGTCGGAGCATATTCCTGTAATCCACGCGACAATAGCCGGATGCCGCTTTGTTGGAAGGACAACCGTGGGCAATCGACGCGGACTGTTAGTCCCCAACACTACCAACGACATGGAGCTCCAACATTTGAGGAACTCCTTACCAGACTCGGTGGTGGTGCAACGTATCGAAGAACGTCTGTCGGCGCTGGGCAATATTATCGCTACCAACGACCATGTGGCGCTGGTGCATCCCGACACGGATAGAGAAACGGAAGATGTCATCGCCGATGTGCTCGGTGTGGAGGTATTTCGACAAACGGTGGGGGGGCAATCCCTGGTGGGAAGTTATAGCAAATTCACAAACCAAGGAGGGATTGTTCATCCACGCACCACCGTCGAAGATATCGAGGAACTTTCCTCCCTGCTGCAGGTCCCTCTGGTGGCTGGCACCGTCAACCGAGGTTCCGATGTCCTCGGAGGCGGGCTTGTCGTTAACGATTGGTCCGCTTTCGTGGGGTTGGATACCACCGGAACGGAAATATCTGTCATTGAAAGCATTTTCAAACTCTCCCGACAAGGACGCCAACAAACACAATCCAGCATGGTGACTGATATGAGAAGCTCTCTCATTGACCAACTATCTTGATTGAATTGAATCGAATCATTCATGCAATAATAAGCAAGAGAGTGACCCAATCTCTCAGTTTCGAATTGGAAAACTAGGTTGGAACAAATACAAATACACTTGTAATAATGTATAGTTGCGGTGTGGAATGGTCTGGAACTTTCTTTCGGTGGGGGTGGGCTTGTGGGGCGTCTCGCCCTTTCCCTACGCTTGTTAATGCCGGCGACGGTTGCTCGAAGGCAGCCAAACCCTCTTTTGGGTCCACTGACCTCGCAGGAAACGCGCAGCTGATGCTCGCTGTGGGCGATAACACAACCCTCATATCGATGTAGACAAAAGGACCCGCTGTGGTAGGAGTCGGTGAGGGAAGTACGGTCGTCTAAACATGATAGTCGCCACGGCTTTTCCCTCTCGATTTTGGTAGCGCAGCAGATTGCTTTATCACAATTCTATGACGTTACAGTACAGGTACACATTTGTATTTGACAATTCAGCTGGACAAACAAACTCCATCCAAGTACAGTACAAATCTCCGCAGTTGGCTGTTGGCCCTTCCTTCTCCCATTCGCTCAGACGACTGGAGGCACATAGACCGGTGCCTCGGCGGCACCAGAAGGGCTCGAGGTTGCTGTGCTGACTGGCACATCGAGACCGTTCTCTGCAAGAATGCCCTCCAGCTGCCTTCGTCGTTTCAACTTCTCCCTATCTTTCTTGGCTTTCTTGAAGAATTCATTTTGCTTTCTAATGGCTTCTCGGAGCTTGGGGCTGCCAGTTCGTACATCATGCGGGTGCCGAATGACGTTGCTGATGCAATAGAAAGAAATACAGCCGAGTAGAGAGATATATAGACCTGGAATGAGCCTGGGAAAGAGTGGATCGTCCTCCTCGTAGTCGCCGTTTTCAATGTACGTGCTGGATCGGTAGTATAGGAACGTGGCCACCAGAGGCATTGTCCCCCCAAAGATCGTTGCCGCCAGATTATGCCCCACAGCAACGCCAGTAAATGAAAGTGTAGGATCAGCCATCCACAATTCCACCTCCCATGCTGCCATGCAACCCTGAACGAACGAAAGACATACTGCAAACTGCAGTTGGCCCAAAAAGTAGCCGACATAAGATTCCGTTTCAAAGAGGCCAAACATGACAGGGCAACCGACAATGACACCTGGGAGCCCAATCCTCACAAGATCCATACGGTGGGGAAACATGTCGGATAGCCTTCCAGCAATCATGAGCAGAATGATGTAGGATCCCACCACCAAGAAGTTCAGGGCATCAGCCTCATTCTCTTTCATCACACCCCGGAGTTCGGATAGATACACCGGAGTCCAAAGAAACAGTATATAGAACGAGCTGGCCACCGCACTGAGAACACCTACCATGCCTGTTAATTGTCGTCTTCTGAAGGGAGAGCTGACCAAATCGACGACGGCAGGTCTATCTGCATGCTCGCTTTCTCGGATGAGTTGTTCTGTCTCTTTTTGCTCTGCTCTTTCGGCCCAAAACTTTGATTCTTCAGTGTTTCCAACAATGTAGTAGAGCAGTGGAGCCAGCAGTAAAGAAACCCAAAAGGGAACGCGCCATCCCCATGTGTTTACAGCTTCTTTGGAAAGAATAGTTCTGGTAAGGGTTGTGACAGCCGATGCCAGCAGAAACCCGCCTACGGAACTAGCATCGCAGACGGATCCACGAAACCCCCGAGTTTTGGGCGAACTCTGCTCAATGGATAGAACATAACTTCCAGCCAGCTGACCTCCAACACTCAATCCTTGCATCATGCGCAGAATGACGAGACAGACGGGAGCAACGGGGCCCCAGGTTTCGTATGTCGGTAAAAGGCCTAGTAGTACTGAGGGCACCGTAATCAAGATGATGGAGAAAGCCAGTGCATCTTTGCGACCGACCATTCTGTCTCCCATTTCACCAAACAAAATGGCACCCAACGGTCTAAACCATCAAGCGAAAAGAAAAAGAAGATTGAGGCATGCAACTCAGGGCAAGGCAAGTGACGATGACATGGAAATGAAAGCAAATCTCACCTCATGATAAAGGCGGCAAGGTACACTCCAAACGAATTTATAAGCTGGAGCTCACGAGAACTCTTGGGAAAGAAGCATTGTCCGATCTCTGGAGCCAGCAGGCCGTAAACGGCAAAATCATACCTGCAAGTAGATGGACAAGAATAAATGAGTGTTGTCCCTTTTGCTGCTTCTTTGCTTGCATTCCATAATTATATAGTCACGATCACGCTCACCACTCGAAAATGTTGCCTCCAACTCCACTAAGGAGTCCCCATATATTGTCATCTCCATGTTCATTTTCAGAGGCCGAATAGAAGGAAAGTTCTTCTTCCTTCATTTGTCTCTCGGCTTCGGGCAAGTTGTAATCTGAATCCTGCAGGGCTGTGATTCCCTCAATCGGGCCGCTGTCTTGACTTCCTTCTTGAGGAGTTGACGCTCCCTCGGCTTCAGCCTGAGTGGTATTGGTCTGCTGCATCTCCATCATGGTGCCATTGGGCGTTGCTTGGATTGTGCTATTTTTCCTTGCGTGCTACCAGTACGTGCACATATTGCAGCCAATGCCGTTGGCATGTTCCTGCCAATGCGTTGAGCGCGATGGACCTTTGGACCTTCCAGCTTGCTCGACTTAAAACCCTAGCTAGTGAGTATGACATCATGATCCGTGATTTAACTATTAGTGAATGGAAGAAAAGACTTTACACGTGGAGCTTCAAAGTACGTGTTTTTCCAAATTGCCACCAAGATGGCAACAACCCCGCTCTTCACGCTTCAAGCAAAAAGCAACCACAGAATTAGACTTTCGTTGTCCGGTACATCAAGATGTTGCGGTTGGTGCGAAATTGCTGTTTGTTGTGGCTGATCCTGCTGCAGTCCACGCCTGGATCAGCCTCAGTGCCCAAGTTGCCAACAGCCTTTGTAAAGAACTACTCGGGCAAGCATGATATCTGTGACAGTGCCATTTCAGACCAAGTGCTGTTCTGTCGAGGTGGAGCTTCTCGGAGCAAGAAGAAATCATCGAAAAAATCATCTTCCAAAAGAACTGCTACAGGAAAGAAGCAGGTTGGTGCCAAATCAGAGGAGCAAGCCAAAAGCTCTGCTCTCTCCGACACCCTCAAGAAATACAAACAGATACTGCCATTGACGAGAATCTACATTTCCATGGTGGGATTGACCACTCTTCTAGGGTTGGTGTTGGGCGATGAACTCTCACAAGGACTGTTGGCTTTAGATCCCATGCGACTCCTGTATGGGCTCGAGATATGGCGCCCCTTTACAGCTGCTTCCTTCCTGGGGCCTCCATCCATCGGATGGCTCATGAGTGGTTATTACCTGTTCGAGTACGGCTCGTCTCTGGAACGAGCCTATGGCACACCACAGCATCTCATGTTTTTGCTGTCACAAGTCGCTTTGCTTTCTATATTCAGTGTTCTATTCGGAATGCCTTTCTTCGGACAGTCCATGATCACCGCCATGGTTCACGTGCTAAGCCGGGCTTTGCCAAAACAAAAGGTCAAGTGGATCATTTTCACGGTTCCTTACTGGACGTTACCCTACGGGCTGATGCTCAGCGATGTACTCCAAGCACAAAATGCTGCCGCGGCGGTACCTCATGTTTTGGGCATTTTAGCAGGGCACTTTTATCACTTTCATAAATTCGTATGGCCCAAAGTGGGAGGTGAAGATTGGTTGGTTGCTCCTGGTTTCGTGGTGAACATGTTGACGCCAAAGGCTTCTACTCCCAAACCAGTCGTCACCAAAAGGAAAAAGGGACGTAAACTCACAGCAAAGAAGTAGCGACCGCCCTCGGATACCCACCTCAAATTCTTCTACATCACATTACATCACTAGTTAGACGCAACAGCTACGTGTTCGGAGGGATGTGGTACTGGTAGTACATGGTGGTTACTAGAAGCAACATTGTACAGTAGAAGTGATGCGACCATGTCGCCCTCATGCAGTACCCGGGGATAGCGTCATGCAGCTACTCGGCGGACTTTGCTTCGACACACTACAGGAATTCCCCAACGGCACATTGCAGGCACCTGATGATCTTCTTCGATGGGTTGGCAGTTGGCAGGCAAATGACGGGTTGGACCGGCCGGAGATCTCATCGCGTCGTAATTCGAAATCATTCCAATACCGACACATGATGCAGCTGGTGGCCCTAGGAGGTAAATAATATGGGTATCGGTAGCTTCTAAAAATGTCTGGTCTGAGATCTGTTATCTGATATGTTCCTCTTCGATGAGGGGTGGACATTTCAGCAAGAGGTACATGTAGACATGTAGACGACGGATTGAATTGGGCGAAAGAAAAGCTCTCGTGAGGTTCACAGAAAGAGCCGTTCCAGTACGGTACACTGTACCACAACAAAGCTATAAAATTAAAGTTTGCACCGTGTCTTTAGCAAAATATGTTGGAGATAGGTAGCTAGAGAGACAGCCTGAGGCTTCACCTACAAATAAATACGGTAGGGACCTTCCAGGTAGTCAATTCCCTAGCTAAAGATCTTCTTTCATGGATCCATGGTCTTCCGAGCGAGAAGAAATTAAAATGATGAAACGGGTATCGCCGTACGTTTTGCATTCGCCCTACTTTTTAACCCGGCCTTCGTGCGGGAAACCTTTTCCGATGCGGAACTTTGGCTAACCACGTTCCATAACCAAATCGTCAAAGTTTGGCGTGGAATTTTCGATTGACAGTAATGCGACTAACTAAGAATGGTGAGCCAAATTTCTGGGGATCCCGAGGGAGAAGATGTGTATCAATGAGTGAGGATGAGCCCACAGATACTCTCGCCTGAGTTATGCACAACCTTGCGGGGAAACTAGTTAGACCCACTACTAGGAAATCATCATGTTGAAGCTGACTATGAGTTCGAGGCGAAAGGCCAGAAGGCTTCAGGCAAGTTCACGGCCTACCAGGAAACATTGTAGAGGTCCTATCATGGGGTCCGACAGAATGATGACGGCCTCGCTGGAGAATGATGAACGTTCGATGAAAGCCGACACCCTGCGAGCAATGCTGAAACAGGAAGCATCGGGTCACTATGCTTGCCTAGACTACCTTAGCATGACACCGTGGAACCAAGATGTGTATCGGATCAGCAAACCAGGCCAGGAGTACCGAATGAAACACGACTCTGGTCCGGAAACTCGCATTGATGAGTACTGCAGGGAGCAGATCGTAGAATGGTCCTTTCGCGTGGTGGACTACTTCCGTATCGACAGAGAAGTGGTGTCTCTTTCCATTTCCTTTCTTGATCGGTTCCTCTCCAAGTGTAGGTGTGACAGGACTAGCTTTAAGCTTGCAGCTACGACGACTCTGAGTCTGGCGGTCAAGCTCTTGTATCCGTGCAAACTTGGTGAACTTGGAATCCTGAGCGATCTAAGTCGTGGGGAATTCGACATGGTGGATGTGGCTGATATGGAAAGCTACATACTGCGCTCGTTGTCTTGGCATATGCACCCCCCAACTCCGGTGGCGTTCGCGACTTTGTTCCTAGATTTTATTTTCGGTGACTTTGCGTTTGATGTCTCTGAGGCAGACTTGGATGATATCTATGACGTGTCTTCGTTCTTTTGCGATCTGGCTGTCTGTGACTATTACTTTGTTCCGGTAAAGGCAAGTACAGTGGCGCTTGCCGCCGTCGAGAATGCTCTGGAGGGCATGTTTGGACAGAAGAACCGGTTGGAGATGGAGGTTCTGAGGGCCGCTAAGAAAGTTGGCCTTTACAGGGCTCATGATCTGTCAGCCGCGAGGAACAGGCTTTGGGAGCTCTATGAACGCAGCGAAGAGTGTGCTCTGCACAATCAGAAGGCTACCTCAGACGAGCAGCCAGTTTGGAATGGCGGAGTCTTCGTCAAGAAGGTATCAACTCACTATTCGCCGGTGTCCATTTCAACATCGTGCGCATCCGGAAATGAACTATCACATCCCACCAAACATGCCAATTTGATCCGCAACAATACCAGTTGGTGACGAAGGCTTTTTTCTGTCGATGGAGCACCAATTGCGGGTGAATGTTCTTAAGAGGGGCTACAGTTCACGTTGTGTCTATTGGGGTTCTCTTGGGAGGAGGCTTCGTAGTACGCTGTGAACAAGGCATCACCTTTGCATCCCAGCAGTCAACAATCACCATTTTCCACCGGTATACGTATAAATCTGCGACTGTGGTTTGGTAAGCAGAAGGCCACCAAAGAATTGCAAGGTTCTGAGCAACATGAAGTCACGAGACTCTTTTAACAAATAATGACATGCTAATCTCTACCGATATACGATACTTCGTAAACCCAGAAAATGACACGAAGGCCCAAGCCGCTTTGGCACAGAGCACAGCCCTTACTTTCCGGTAGCCTTGAGGCCACTGCGGTCCTGTTGGGTAGGACCCTGGAAGGTTTAGTTTCGGTTACATTAGTACGTTCTGAAGCTACTAGTCAGTAACGCTACAAGTGCATGGGATCTGAAGGAATGCAGTGCACCTCTGGCTGAGTCACTCCGCAACACTTATGAAATCTGCTCACGTCTGGGGTGGTGCCAGCTATACAATGCTATATGTGATCGTCCAGAGCATTGGGCCTGTCGCCTGTGGGGCTCTGGGGAGTAGGCGGGACGAACAGAGCGGTAGTTCGTTGCAGTATCTCAACCAGGAGTTCCGCTTCTGGCTTCAAACTCTGAGGGAAGGTAATGGAGGGAAGAGATGAGGTCGGACACCAGCTTGCTTCGTGACTGTGACAGACTTCCCCAACTTACCGAGAGGCCGTTTTGAATTGTGGCGTTTCCTAGGTTCTGAAAGAGGCAGGAATGCAACGTCAGGTCGGGGAAGACGAACTCTCAATGCTCATTTTCCTGCACTCACCTGCATAATAAACTCAAGGGCAATTTCTTTCAGGTTTCCAGCCCGATGGCGATGGCTGGCAACCAAAATATCAATGCAATTATCCAAGTCCAAGTCTCGTCGAATGGCATCTTCACAGAGCGACTTCAGCCTATCAAGCATGAAGTGCTCACTTGCTATCATGAGGTGTATTCCCGTGTCCAGTGACACTCTGGCTACCGTATCTGTGTATAAGAACTCAAGGACCTGACGTGCAAAAGTCAGACAGCGGGCCCAATGGGAACTCAATCCAGTCTCATCAGAAGCTGACGAAGCTCCACATACCTGAAGGAAAACGCTGTACGAAACGTCTTGCAGGTGGATAGGAGAATTTTGTCGTGCATCATTGTTTGACCCCACGGTTGTGCCATCAGTCATCTGACTCTCCTTCATACCCCCAGTGAGCAGCATGACTCTAAAGTACTCTGATCGACACGCCAGTACAGCGCGGTGAGCATGAACCACCTTTCCTTCTACAACAAAGCTGACATCCGCTAGTTCTGCATTGTTGATGAGTCGTCGAAAGTCTGAGACAAGTGACGGCGGAGGCAAACCAACAGGTTTCAACCGGAATCTGTGAAAATCGTTCAGCACTGTTCAAAGTGCCATTGTGAGGGAAGAGAACTAGAAGAGTGAGGATGTGAATGGGGAAGTGCGCCTCGCTACTTAGAAGGAGCAAGAGGAAGCTGGCTTAGAACGTGCCTGAAGTGCCATTGTAGCCTCCAAAAATGTATACGACGCTTTCGTGCACCTGACAGACAAGCGAGGATCGACCACTAGGAGCGTCACCGTTGGTACAGTCAACTTCAGTCCAGTGGTTCGTCACGAAATCATAGCAATGCCTGGAAGCAACGAGGATGAGTTTCCAATACCTTGCTTGCTTGGACAGCGTGGCTTTCTGATCAAACATCCACAAGTCGCAAATACTCACATGTCGGCCAGCCTTTCATTTCCAGAATAGCCGCCATACACGAAATACTTGTTGTCATAGAGACAACATGAATGGAAGTAGCGAGCGCTTGGGCATGTCCCATAGCTTGGCATTTGCGTCCAACAGTACGTTGACAGGTCGCATGCAAAAACTTCTCAAACATCTGTTAGACATTTTCATAGTGGAGAATGTACCGGCATCGCCAAACACTTCAGTTTGACTCACAGCAACTCTTTCTTTCCACTCCGTCGTAGCCGCCTTTCCGTGACACGTGAGAAACACTCAGCAGTGGGCATCGGGTGACTGGGTGGGAAGACGAGGGAACTCACCATGGATGTAGACATGTGTGTCGTCTTTTGCCCACGCGGGACAAGATCGGACAGAAGGAATGAGTCCGCTGGGCTGAATTTCTCTCCAGGTTTTGGTGGCAAACGAAAACTCATGCATACAATTCTACCGGTATCAGACAGTTCATTCACATTCACAACCAGTCAGTGTTGTGAGAGTTCTACAACAAGGGGGCTGTTGTTGGATCCTTCTGGTTTCAAGTCACTTACCAACCATTGTGTGCCGTCAAAACCTCCCCATAAGATGAGACGACCTGCATGAACGACTGAGACATAACCAAAGCGTCGAGAAGGTACCTTCCCTCTGACCTGTCTCGCCTGAATAGGGGCAGCTTGTCCATGACCTGATTCTTCTACAGCCAATGAGCTCGCTTCATCGGCGGGCCCCGCATCCGACGAGCCCTGAATACAAGTCCAACGTTTGCTCTCGATATCGAACTGAATCAAATCGCATCAAACCAAAACGTAAGGAATGCAGGATGGCTCTTATGAAACAATACCAAAAGTGTCTTACCTTCCAGAGGTCATTCAACCAGTTACCTGAATCGCATCAAACCAAAACGTGAGGAATGCAGGATAGCAGACTGCTTGCATTATCGTCATCCACGATTCAACCATTTACCTCCATCGTACCCTAGACAAAGGATCCGGTCAAAAAGAAACAGAGCAAGGTAATGTGAGACTTGCCAACTTTTGGTCCGCCTCCGTCTAGATAGTTGCGCGTATGATGGAATGCTTTACAATACCTCCAAACAGGTAGATGCTGTCACTTGAATCGGAAATGACAACTCCATTATTCTCGCGGCATCCTGGTTTCTCCACGCTTTCGACTTGAACCTGCAGACGAGGAAGAACGACATTAGCTGCAACATCTAACCGAAACCTGAAGTTCCGTGATAGTAACCAAAAACAGTACCTCTTCCCAGATGCGACTTTCAAAGTCAAAGGACCAAAAGTCATCGAGTCGTCCAGTGCCTTCGATTAGTGGTGGAACAAGAACAAAAAGTCGTTGGGATGCACTGCGACGAACAATCAGAAATCAGAACGAATTGCATAGACCTTACCGCCACCATATCCTCCAAACCTTTTGTGGGACGGGAAAAATATTTGATCAGCGGTTTGCAAGCCTTGCAATATTTCAAATGCTTTCTTCTGACAAACTTCGCTGACCACACTTACACCTACTCGCCAGTCGCCAGCAAAAAATGAGGCAGTTACCAAAGCGTAAGGATATCATTCGGAAGCAGCACAGAAAACACAGCCGAGGACAATTCATCAGGTCGCCTTCTCATTGTAACTCACATATAGTCTTCCTCCCACAACAACACTAGCAGCACCACTGCGAGGCGGAGGAACCAGAGTTGATTTGGGCGACACGGGAACTTTGGACCAGCTCAAACACTGTCGATCCAAGCGCAACCGGGGTGATGGGGCAGGAGCAGCGGCTGCTGCTACTAGAGCTCCCCCCGCTGCAGCGTTTTCAGCGCCACCGTTCCATCCAGCGTCCATGTTCCTTCTTTTCCTTGAAATAAACCAATTTGTTGTACCAGTACAGACTGGGAAATCTTCTTTTGTTCAGAGATCCGAAAAGAATAAATGGGAGCAATCGATCGTGGGTTGTTGTTCTTCCGAAACAGTAAATTAGTTGGGTAGAGTGGCGCTCTCAAGGTAAAGGAAACCAATGAATCGAATCTGAAAGCAGCTCTCGCTGCCATTGAGGAAGTTAACCACAGCCTTTCTTGAGGTTGGGTGTTGCTCAATGTCAATATGCTTCAGGCAGAGTTGACTTGATGGGTTGCTTGTTGTTGGTTGTTTGGAAGAGCATCGGTCGATCCGATGCATGCAGCCGTTGCATAATGTTCTCATAGCAACAGAATCTGTCTCTAAATCTTTGAGAGGAAGAATCTGTCTCTTAAAGCTTTGAGTGATGAGAAAATATAACCGTAGCGAAACGGCTCGGCTGTCCAACGGCCAACTGTGGCTGGACGGAATGGTTTTCACATGGATGGACAAATGATCAACTGCTGCAATAGATGTCATACATGTATCTGATCTGTTCCACTGTACCAGCGCCGACATTAATAGCTTCATTGCCTTTGATTGTTCATTTTCTTTCTTGAGAGCTAGTCTATTCCTCTAGCATGATGATGCTACGACAGATCCTTCAAGTAACCACAACGGCAGCTTCATTTCTGCTGCTTTCGTCTTTATCTTCGGTGCCCGTGTCTTTGGCCGAAGAAGATTTGGAATGCGGCATGTACATGGCCATCAGCTCGACTTCGACCGTGGACGAGACTCGATGGGGCATCTATGCTGGCAAAGATATCCCGAATGGGGCTCCACTTGGTGGCCCGGATGTTGCTATTAACATCTTCAATCTTCAAGGAAATACGCAAATGGCAGACGAAAACGAAGAAGCAGATTCTCTTCTCGCCAGCACTGTGGACTTCTTTGAACAATTCATTTGGGTTCCTATTCCGAGTGGATCGCAGTTTGATTTGGAAGATGGTCGAACGGTGACAGCTATCCCTGGAGCTGGAGTGCTAGGTACATTTATTTGCTTGTCATTGTTTCATGTTTCATAATCATCCTTGAACTAACTAAACCCATCATTTTCTTCTCCTTTTTCTCAGGCGGCTTCAACCCAAAACTGACAAATGCTGATTGGAATCATTCGGCGGCCTATTTCCGACCGTCCCTGGGAGAGCAGCCTGGTGTCAATCATCCTGGACGAGGAGCCTATTCAAACTTTTATCACGTCGAACTGAGAAGCAAAGACGAAATCCCGGCCGGGAGAGAAATCTTTCTAGAGTATGGTGAGTTCAGTTCAATTTGGTTTCATGTCATGTATTCGTTCGTATCTTCTCTTTCTCAACTCCAATTCTGTCCTCAAGGTGATAACTGGGAAGAGGAAGCCAAGGAAGAAGACCTGACCACCGAGGATTACAGAAAGCTAGATGCAACCGTGGAGAAAATGGCAAACTTCTTTGATAAGTACAACGACGAACTCGATGAAAAGGCCAAGACGGACATTTACGATTTTCTCATTCGGGACGTCATGGGTGCTGCGGCAGGAGCAGGCAAAGGAAGAAAGATTGTTGATCTGCTCCCAGCCTATCCAGAATCACTGCCCAAGGTGAAGGAAAGTGGAGGTTCTCTGGCTTACAGTCAACCCAAGTCTATTAGAAGCACGGCATGGTTGCAAAATCACGGCCGTTGCATTGACAACATTGGACCAGGCGCTTCTACAATCCCTCATGCTGGTAAGTCTGTCATGTGTGTAAAACGGTGTTTTCCATTGCCCTGGACGGTCTTTCATCGTCATGCGTCGCACTTTTGTAGGCCGTGGTGCCTTTGCCAGGCGCAAGATTAAGGAGGGTGGGCTTGTCGCACCTGTTCCACTTGTCCATTTGCCTGCTGGTAGTATGATGGATATGCATGAAATCGGATCATCGGATGACGGTGGCGAAGAGGGTCCCGTCTACTACAAACTCTCAGATGAAGTACAAGGAAAGCAGCTTCTATTAAACTACCTGTACGGACACCCAGAGTCAAGCATGCTCTTCTTCCCCTCTGGGTCAGTATCCTGTCTTATCAACCACAGCAAAGAACCAAATGCGAAACTGGTTTGGTCCACCCATCCCGGTCATCAGAGGCATTGGTACGACATGTCACCCGAAGAGCTCCTTACTATGGAAACGATGTACATTGGACTTCTCATTGAGGTTGTAGCTCTTCGAGATATTGAAGAAGGTAAGACTGTTGCGTTGTCGTCGGTCGCTTCGTGCAGTCATTCTCACATGCTTGGAACCCCAACTCAACTCAAGGGGAGGAAATCTTCATTGATTACGGTGACGAGTGGGCAGCAGCCTGGGAAGCTCATGTGAAGGAATTTGAAACGAAAGTAGCCTCTGGAGACTTGCCGAAGGATTGGCCAATTCGTGCTCTTGACCTGAATGATGAATTTTCAAAGAAAGCATTCAAGAATCCTGATGAATTGGCAATGGAACCATATCCCAACAACGTCATGCTGAAATGCTTCGTTCAGGTGACCCCTGAGGTTATCCCCGAAAAGATCGATGGAAAGCCAGTCCGCGAATGGGTAATGCCAAAGGATGGCGTGTTTGATAGCGATTCGTTGGAGGATTGCACAGTGACAGACTACCGAGAAGTCGATAACGGCGTGATGAGCGCGATTCCTTACAACTACACCGTTTCTCTGGGAAGGGACGGTGGGGCAACAAGGATCAAGGACGTGCCACATCGAGCATTCGTCTTTGTAGACAAGCCAGGGACCGGCGATCAATTTGCCCAGAATCCATTCCGTCATTACATCTCAATTCCAGATGATGTTTTCCCTCAGGGTCCATGGCGAGACTTGAAACAGTCGTGAGCGGAATTTTTTCCGAAGAAATTACTCAATTCACTTCCAGCCATCGCCCGCCATCCGGCCATCGAAGCGTGAGGGTAAAGTGGTGCGCTTCCCGCTTTAGTTGTTGCCTTTAGGGCTGGATCATAGTAGTTCTGATTTTTAGAGAACGACATTGGAGCTGAAACTGGGAGACTTGGCCCCAATGTACATTACAGTAGTGAAGTAGGAATGTTGTGTTTGTGGACCATGAAGGCGCATGACTTCTACAATTTTGTACCACTGGTGGCCGCGCTGCTGTGCCATTCTCCCTGCGGCACCGGTACGGGTGCTACGGTGCTGCCATGGTCCTGGAAGTCGACTCCATCGGTTGGCAATAGTTTGGAGGCTAGTTATAGTACTAGCTAGCTAGTCTAGTAACTAGCTAGATACATATCCTCTTGTGACTTTGCTAAGCCAAGGGGTGTCAGTGTGTAGCAAGCTTGGATCTTGGATCTTGTGGCTGACACAGTAAAATTGACCGTTAGGCTTACGAGTGACTCAGTCATGTCTGAGTCACTCGAAAACGGTCATTGGTTTGTTGACAACAATGTGCTACCGGAAGCTACTATGTCATAGACCATGTAGCAAGTAGCAAGCGAGTACGTCAGTCCTCCAAGCTTAGATTTTAGTTGCTGATGAAGCAATCTGAGCAAGAGGGCAGCTGCTCTATGATTGTGACTGTTCGGTTGCAATCAATTGCTACAGATCCCATAATTTGAGCCAAGCAACACGACACCTTACTCGAATAAAGATCAACGAAGATGTTCAACTCAAAACTGGTCCTTCTTGCTTCAGCGCTGTTGGCGTACGCCACAGCCTTCACGCCTCTCTCCCCGGTACGACTATTATTTTGCTGGCAAAGCCCAGTGTGTTGGCACAAGTCGAGCCTGCCCATTTTGACTGATCAAATTTCATTTTTTCCCCAATCCATTTGTTCAGGAGGGCACCTCTGCTCGTCGTGATGTGTTGAAGGTTGGAGGTGCTGCAGCCGTGGCAACACTTTTTCCAACTGTGGCTTTGGCCGAGATCGAAGTCCCACCCCAATCTACCGAATACGAGTTTCCGGCTGACTGGGGACTCACGTTCAAGTACGAGGAAGATGCGGCCAAAGTGAGAAAGCACATGGTTGTTGCTACTGGTTTGGCAAAGGGCGCCACGAACATGGAAGATTTTGGAAAGAACATGAAGAAGGAAATGGTTGACTTTGTGTCATACTACCGCAGATTCCCAAAGGTCTCTGGAAAGCCTTCGTTCAGCACTCTCTACACCTCCATTAATGTCCTGGCTGGTCACTACACTTCATATGGATTCAAGTACCCTCTTCCCGAGAAGCGACGCAAGCGTCTGTACCAAGAATATGCTGAGATTGAAAAGTCTTTGAAACGTGGTCGCTAAGCATGCTAGCACTTACATAGAAATAATTCTAGCGAACCATCATGAATTCTCGGAAGGGGGCTCTGTACCTCATGCTTCAAGTGCTAGGTTAAACTGAAGACGACGCTGCAGCCACAGAGATCGGTGCGGGGGGTTTCCCCCGAGCTCAGCCAGGCTGCTGAAACCCCTTCCAATGACACCCTTGACCAGCCGCGTTTGTATGGAGTCGAGTCTACGAGTGGATTCACTTCGGCAGGAGGGTGATACTTTTCAGGTGGAGTCTTGTTACTGGATTCAACGTTTTATGAGATGATGAAGCTACTAGGAGAATTGAGTCGGAAACTATTGCTCACTCTGGCTACTTTATGCGCCTTTTGTGGAGGCCTCGGCACAACTAACTGAAACGTTCGTTCTTTGTGGTCTACCGGGTGATTTTGAGTCAAATTCTGAGCACCAAGACGGCTTTGTCTCTGCAGGACTCCATCGAACGACAAGTGCCATGCCTACATACTGACCAATCAACCGCGGCAGCCTGCAAAGACATTATTGTCGAACACAATTCACAACATGCTAGCAAATGCTATCCAATGTGAACCAGTTATGGATGCTGAACGTGGAACTACAACATGTGAATCCTACTTTTTGGGTCGGGGCTTGCAACTGCCAAGAACTTTTGCCTCTAAGACTGTCCTGCTTAGGTCTCAAGCTTCTTGAATGATTTGCTTTCTCTCGGCAGGACCCCTTCGAACGACATGTCATGGCTACATACTGACCAATGTGAGCGCCAACAGCGGCAGCCTGCAAAGACGTTATTGTGGAACACAATTTGCACCATGCTAGCAGATGAAATCCAAGGCGAACCAGTTATGGATGCTGAATGTGGAACTACAAAATGTGAATCCTACTATTTGGGGTGGGGCTTGCCGCCTCGCTCTCAGACCGTCCTGCTTCGGGTCTCAAGCTTCTTGGATGCTTTGCTTTCTCTCTGCAGGACCCCATCGAACTACATGTCATGCCTACATACTGACCAATGTGAGCGCCAACAGCGGCAGCCTGCAACGACATTATTGTCGAACACAATTCGCACAATTCGCAACATGCAAGCAGATGTTATCCAAGGCGAACAAGTTATGGATGCGGAACGTGGAACTACAAAATGTGAATCCTACTATTTGGGGAGGGGCTTGCTGCCACCTGGAAGTTTGCCTAAAAGACTGTCCTACTTAGGTCTCAAGCTTCTTGAATGATTTGCCCTGGGGGAATCTTTCCCAACCTCTCGTTCGGGTCTTGATCTCCATCTAACATCTCGAGCCAGCCCAGTTCGTGTGGGCGACGACAAGCCCGTGCTTCAGGTACTCGATAAACGTCGCCGGTATCCCTTGGAGTTTCGTCATCGGACATCTTGGGCTGTGGCGGTGGCATCTCAGCGAACCCGAACAAGCTTTGCAACTGAAAATGCGACAGAGAAGTACAGAGCAAGCAAAGGAAGTGAGTCGAGTCCTTGGATTATGCAATCTTGGGAAAAGTGCACTTGATATGCACCAAGAAACTTACACCCATGGAGGACGGCTGGGAAGCCACGACACCGCCACCGGCGCCATCACGCTCATACTGCTGATCCAAGAATCGCACCAGCGACAACTGGTCATGATTGAAAGTGTACGTCTGAAAGAAACCAGGTCCTTCTTGATCTATATTCGCCAAGTAGACTGCATAAGGATCTCGAGCGCCATCTGTTCCAACCTCCATGGCTTTCATAAGTCTCTCAATAATGTTCGTTAGATCGCCGTATGGGTCTATTTGCATGTTGCTAAGTTGCTCGTACAACCTCCTCATGCCTTCACACAAGGCCGCTTGTGTGATTCCTTCAGCGGGACAAAAATCTTCAATCATGAACTTGCGCAGTGCAGATCCACCTTGAATGGTCAAGGCCTTCTCCAAGAATCGAAGCTCTGGTGGAAAGTCCGCAAAGAGTTCTTCAGTGTCCACAAATGCTTTGCACATCTGCTGCGCCATCAGGCAAACTTGAGTACATTCTTTAAGAGTGTAAAGGATTGGTGGGTCGGGTAGGTACCTCCTAGGATCACCGGTTGACAGCACTGTCATGAAGTTAGCTTCAGTCTGAGGAGTGTTTTCAACGTAGTTGGCATCCTTGACCTTCTTTTCCCAATGGGCTACCATGCCTTTCAAGACTAGGTAGTTAGCCACTCTTTCGTAGAGCTCCCCACTGCAGAACGACGTGAGATCCAGGTTTCCAAAATTTGGGCCTACTCGGCCTTCCCCATCCAACATAATCTGGCGAAATGGAGCAGAAATATGATTCTCTAGAGTCAGGAAGTTTCTCCAAAGCGCGCGGTTCTCACGTGCTTCTTCTACGTTGCCCTTCCACATGCTCCTCATCTCGAGACGTCCAAGGGTTCTTTTCATGTTATATCCAAGATAGTCGCGATTTGCGAGTACAAAGTCGATTGCTTTGTTTGCCACCGATGGATGCTTTGGAATACCGACACTTCCGTCATCCAGTGCCACAGAGCACGCCTCGCGGAGTATCTCTACCATTTGTGGCACCTCGACAGTTTTCCAATCCATGCGCAATTCGTCGCGGATATCTGGTGGTACTCCTGGGAACATTTGAGCAAGTCGATATTCTGGACCGAGGTCGCTCAGCTTTACAGCCTTGCGAGTCACAACATCCATGACAGCCTTTCCCTGGGCCACAATTTCGATTCCTGTTTCGTCGTCAACGATCAGGGTTGAAACATCTGGCCGCTCATCCATTCGCCTCTGAGCTTCTGCCATTCTAGCCTCTCGTTCACCCTCGGCAGGATCAGCAGAAGCGGCAGTAGCATTTTTGTCAGTTTCTTTCTTCGTGTCGGCAGCGTCTTCGATGGCTTCAAAGAATTGCTGCGGTCTTGACTTTCCCTGTTTTTCTACTTTTTGCTGTCGACGAGCTTTTCTACTCTTGCCCATAAAAAGCTCTGTGGACGATGCAAATCCTCCTGTCTTGGTTGAACCAGGAGCCGGCGGGGTGGCTGTGAAGCAATCTACATTGTGGAGAGAAAGCAGGAAGGCACAAGAGATAGCCAAAAGACGCATTTTGCTGCAGTGGTTGTGATTCTAACAATCAATAAAGAGGTTTCCTCCTATGTGTCCCTTTCGATACTGGGAAGAGATGGCTTGGATATGTTCACAAGCATCCAAGATAGTTCCAGGTTGGAAGATTGATTGCCCTCTGCCTGGATGGAGTGGCTTCTCGAGTTGATGGACGGATGAGAGCTTCGAGCTTCAGCTTCGTACGTCAGCATGGAATCGAATCATTCGAATGCAGAGATGTAGGAATCTGCATTCGAATCGAATCGAATCACTGGTGAGCCAGCGAAGTTGTTTAGATACTCGTACTAGTAAGCAAAATCGCAAAATACCTACCGGCGGTGGTGGTACCAGTACTAACTAGCTACCGGTAGTACGGTAAAGGTCGCAACGGCCCGTACCGGTACAGTACAGTTACCATAGTGGCCACCAGACGGTACCGGTACAGCTGTACCGGTATCGTACACCGCAGCATTTCTTCATTCACTGCTAGCTAGCTGCATAGTAACCTCTATAGCTAAACCTCTCCTACCGCCCTCTCTATTCTGATTTCCACAAGCAACGAAGCAAAATCAAATGCCCCACTGCGAGTGTTGTGGGCATCAAAAAGCTTTACGCTTCGGATCCCTCTTCTCAGGCAGGAAATAGGAATGGATGCTCCCGCAATGAACTCGTCGGATCCGACCACGGACCCTTTCTCTTTGTCGTAGACAGAAATCTGTAGCATGGCTATTGCTGCACTTTCGATAATGAAAGTGAACTTTTCATGATTCCAAATCGGAAAGAATCCATTGCCTGGGAAGGGATCTGTCGCGTGGGTGGTCTCCTTTTCTTTCCCTTCAGCTTTGACGTCAAGTACGGACACCCTAATGTATGGATCGATGCATTCTCCGACACTTTCTCCCCTTGGCTTCGGCAAGTTGGACCCACTAAGAATTCGAATTGATAACTTCACTGGCACCGGAGGTGGTTGTGTGGGATCAAAATCTGACAAGATAGACGAAGGCTTGAGCACATAACCACAACCGCCATTCTCACGGAATCTGCCATCATTTGAACGCAGAGCAACATCCGTTGTTTGAAAGTTCAGAGACACCATCTGGCATCCAACACTCCAAGCTAAGAGCGGGCTATAATTGCTTGAATCAACCCTCGCACCTGCAGGATAAGTTCTTGTCATGTGGGACTGGTTGTACACAGCCCACTTCTTGCTTTTGTTTTGACGAAACATTGTGCGGACCTTGCTCTCAGTGAAGGAATGCATGTGATGCGTTGGGGACTGAACACTTTCGTCCCAGCTCTTGTGTTTTGTCCCATGGAAAAGCGTAAGTTTCGCTAGTTGTGGGGCGACACCGTGCTGCCTGATCTGCTGTAGCTGCGACTGCAGGATTTTGTTCCAAACCATAATCAGGGTGAGTGAGCCCAGTTCAACAGCGACACGACGAAACTTAGTTAGGAACGCTCACCTTGCTTTCATCTGACATGCTTTTTACATTTCCCTCGTCATCAGAATCCTCGTCTGTGTCGTAGCCGTCATCTCCTACACCAACCAAAGGTCGTCTTCCCTTGATCACGACCAATCCACGTAAACTGAAAAGTTTGAGAATGAAATGGAGACCACATCGACCATAATTATCATGTATGTCAGTGCACCAAAGTGATTTTGAGCGACACGTCGAGCAATACAAACTTACACTGTCGGCGACGGCAGCAGCCCGAACAGGGAGTTTTCGGGGGGAACATAGAGCGATTTGCCCAAAATTCTGACCAGTTGTTCTGCCATGACTTCTTGGTATGGAATGCTGCAATGATTCTCAAACGACAAAACGATGGGAAAAACATGTGGATTGAAATTCAAGAAGTGCTTAATCGCCTTGATGATATCTTCAAAGAGGATCTTGGTGGTCATGGTGTGGCTTTGTTATGAAATCAAAAGGTAACGCAAAACAATCACAACTATCAGCGAATAGCAGTCACGAAACCAGCGTTTCAATCCAACCAGAGCAATCACAAAACCACTCACCCATGCCAAACCACTGGGACCGGCATCGAATTGGTTGCCTCCCGTTCTCCATCCCAGATATCCAACTCGAGACATCGGCAACCTCTGTACAAAGCACTTGTGTACATGTCCACCGATGAATGCGACGTGAATTGGTCCCCGGTGAGGTATGTGTTGTGACTGCTATTGATCCAGTATTCTGATATTGGCCTTGTCATCAATCTTCTGTCGAACCTTTCTCGCTCTGGATCAAAAGCATCATTGTCTGAGCTTAATAGATAGGCTTCGAAGCGGTTTTTGTCTATTCTGCTCAAATCGTTTTGCAGAACATCGTTGACGAAAGTGATTTCCATCTGGTGTAGCGCAGCGAACGTTCGGCTCACTTGTTCCAGTGTGGCACTTTTCTCCGCTTGTTTTCGATGAAGGAACCGTTCCAAAAATGTTTTGTCTGAGACTGTCATTCTGGGTTTTCCGTTGTTCATGAATTCTCCAAACACATCGTTCCATAGAACAGTAACAGGCTTGACCATCCAACTGTCTCGCTTGAGTTTGTGGAGGAATGTGCAGCATTGTTCAAAATTGAGCCCCTTTCTTCTCATGGCACGATCTAATCCAATGACTTTTCCGAATTTCTCGTAAGTGCTGTTTAATTGTTGTCGTTTCATAGCCAAGTTGATCCGTTCTAGGATCCTGCCAAGTTGATTGCAGTTGATTTTGCCAGTCATGTCTTTGTCGGCGTCCAGCCACACAGATCTCAATAGAAGAACATCACTGGCGACTTTATTTTTGGATTCTTGGTATGTAAGAATGAGGAAATCTAGTCCATCCAAGAGCTCATCTCTGTCCATGCTGTCTTTTGCCATGAGATCCATCTGACTTCGTCCCCTGAAGATGATGGAGAAAGAACGTTCAGGAGAGACCTTGTCCGCTTCATTTTGGTGATGCCCGCCCCTACTAACGTTGGGATCACTAAGCCGTCTCGTTCCTTTTGGCATGAATTTCTGTCCACGTTGAATCCGGTCAATGGCTCCAACATCAATCACGCGAGTGTCCTTTTCTTTGGTAGAGCCGTTGCTACCATTGCTGTGCGAGTCATGATGGGCGCTCTCCGTCGACGCCACACGGCGTAGAAAGAAACCAGCTCTAGGCTTTTTGACAATGACGGAAATGGTGAACTTGTCGGCTGAGACAGTCAAGGTGGCAGGTTCAATCTTTCGTCCATTTGCCGTAATTTTCCAGACTTCAACGCCTTCCAGCAATCTTGGAGGGACAGACAGAGATTTTTGCTTGTGAATGAAGGATGATCTTTCCATGGCTTCCTGATTCGTCGCTAGCTAGCTAGTAGTAGTCTGGCTATAGCAACAGCGCAACAACACTGTATTCAGGCAATCCCAAAGCTACAAGCAGCTCTCCTACTATCCTTTCCTCTTTGGATCCTTTTGTGTCTTGTGATGTGTCGATCCAGAGCACGACAGGATGGGCGCTCTCGCGACTCCCGAGTCCCGTGAATAGATTATAAAATTCGCTGCGCCCAATAATCTTCATCGAGACACAAACCAGTCGATCGGAGCGTGGTGGTGCTGTTGCAATAGACCCAAGTGTCGTGTTTAGAGAGAGGAAGAAAAGAGAGGGAACGAGAGAAGATGCCAACAGATGAGGAAGTGAGCCAGTTCATGGCGGTGACGGGAAGCGCCGATCCCGAACAAGCCACCAATTACTTGGAAATGAGTGGCGGAGACTTGGAGACGGCCGTTGGTTTGTACATGGAACACAACATGGGTGGCGGCGGTGCCAGTGCTGGTGGAATGGGCGGCATGGACGCAGGATCCGGCGACGCTCAAATGGCAGCGGCAATGGCATCACAGCAGGATGTTCGAGCACCCGATGCCACTCGCACCATGCGATTGATGGACGACGTGATGGATGTGGGACACCATCCAGCACTCGGAAACCCAGGACTGGCCATTATGAATGCAATGATGGACGAACAGCTCGCTCAGTCGGCTTTTGCTTCTCCACCCTCTCGACTCAACGCTCGGGATGTTGTCAACAGTGCTGCTGCGAACGAAAACAAGCGTGGAGACAGCGACGAAGAAGAAGAGAGTGGAGATGGAGACGATGAAGAATATGAATATGACGACGACGATGATGGCATTGGCAATGCGGCCCCTCCAGCACCTGCTCGCCTTTCGGACATGTTCTCTCCACCGGAGCATTTGATGCACACAGCGGGGGGTAAGATAGTCTATGATGGGCACGGGCACCAAAATGATGATGCCCTACCATACCAGTATCAGCAACAAACGCTCACGCATTCCTCTGAATCTGTACCTCTTCATTCTTTGCATGCAGGATTCCAAGGAGCTCGGTCCATGGCGAAAGACTCCAAGCGTTGGCTTTTGGTCAATCTACAGCGTGATTCTGAATTTGCATCTCATGCTCTCAACCGAGATGTTTGGCGAGATGAATTGGTGGAAAACTTGGTTCGAGAAGGTTTCATCTTTTGGCAAGCTGTACGTCCAGGACTTCTTCTTGGCTTTATTCTATCGTTTTGTGTTGCTCCACGCGACAAAAAGCCGTTCAGTGGGACTTAATTTCTCATTTTTTTCCTCTTCTCTCTGCATTCAATTTCCGTCAGATGGATATCAGCAGTGAGGGAAGAACTTATTCGGAGCGATATGCGGTTCATGATTACCCACACCTGGCGATTCTGGACCCACGAACTGGTCGCCTGCTGTGGCGGAAGGAAGGGTGGACGCAGGAAAAACCCTTGACAGCGGAAACATTTGCTGAATATGCCATGGATTTCTGTTCGCGAAATTCCTTCGACAAACCCCCATCTGCGCGTCCACCCACTTCAAACGGTGCAGTGCGACCTCCAGTCAAACGATCGATGCAGGAAATGTCCGAAGACGAACAGATGAAAGCTGCCGTAAATGCTAGCTTGGAAAAGGAAAGCGGGAGCCAGGACGAAGAGATGGAAGACCGAAATGACGACGACAATGATGAGGCCGACGCAAAGCCAGCCGCTGTGGAAGACGCACCACCAGAGGAAGAAAAGGCTGGACCCTCCTTGCTTGAAGATCTCAAGAGTGTAGAGGTCGGCGACGAACCGGCAAAGGGAGCTCGGTTGCAATTGCGATTGCCGGATGGAAAGCGCAAAGTACGAAAGTTTGCTCCCTCGGACACTATCAAAATCATTTACGCATTTCTGGCGGTAAGTACATGCATGCAGTGCTTCGGAGGGTGTCTCAATTCGTGATCTGCTTTGCTTTTTTGATTGATCTCCTCGTCTCATTCACATCCTTGGTTACGCTTCCCCGGCAAAATACAGCAAGAGACTCAGGGAGATAGCGCTGGCCGTGAATTCACTTTGATGGTAGGGTTCCCGCCTCGGGATCTTCTCCCGGATATGGACAATACAATTGAGAGCTGTAAGCTGGCAGGCGAGGCCATTACCATGCGCTGGAAGTGAGGAGCTTATTGCGTCACACATAGTTTTCAGGGAATGATTTTTACAGCAGCAAAAAACTGAAACTCACGAAACAACCTACAGCTAGCTTCTGTAATCAAGATTATATCTAGCTGGCTTGGCAGTATATAGCGTAGTGAAGAAGGTCTAGTAGCTAGTTTTAGCTATCTGTTGTACCACACTCTGCACCAAACGAGGGTTTTCCTTCCCTGAAATGACATAGAAAATACTACAGTACCTGGTACCTGGTACATATATGACTGGTTCCAGGTTGAACAAAATCAATTGGAAGACTAATGGTGCTGCAACTGACTGCGGCGAGGTGGAGCGTTCATGAATCGATACGCGTATTCAAATCCAAGGTAGACGCCATAGATGATAACAGCCTTCTTGAAGCCCGGCAAGGGATCCTTCCAAAGATTCAAGAACTTAGGGTGGCGACGCCACGCATCCTGGCCTTGGAAAACCATTCTTTCTGCACTACAGTCGTACCGGTACAGTAGCCGGACCGCTAAGCAATATCTTCTATTGAAACGAAAACCGATCAAGCATCAACGTTAGCTGCAACAAAAACAACCAATCATCCATCATCCCACAAAAATTGACATGGCAGGACTACCGACAAACTTTCGAGCTCTGTTTAAAAGGATGACATGAGCAAGCTTCTCAACAGGAGCTCCCTGTGGTTAACCTTGACCACAAATAATTGTAATAAACAAACAAACACATTAATTTTATTAATAAACAACCACCAAAACTTACTGACGCCGATGAAGGTGAATGTGCCAAGGAATCGAATCGAGCTGTGAACGTTCGTGGAATGGCCGCGCTCCTTCGGAGGACCCACATTTGCTCATAGAACAAGCAGCCCGAGGCTGATGCCCTCAACTGTCAAAAAGAGATTTGATTGGTCAAATCATTTACCGTGTTCAACTGGACACACTATTGATAGCAAGTCTCCATAGCCAGCCAGTACGGGCACAGTGGTATCGGTACCCATGGGTCCAGAGTACTGTGTCCAACAGAACACACAATATAAATCCCTATCCTTAACAAGGAAAATGTCCTTATGTCTTTGGCAAAACTCCACGTGTTTATCTGGACACACTAGCGAGTCTGCATAGCCAGCCGGTACTGGTACCCATGCGTAGAAACTACTGTGTCCAACAGAACACACAAGATTAATCCCTATCCTTAACGAGCGACGAAAACAGCTGCAACAAACACACACATAAACACACAACACACAACACAACACACACACACACAACACACACACACACATACACATACAGCGATAAAAGTCTGAAAGACCCTCAGTCCGTTGAGGGCAAAAGCATTCAGTAGGGTCCGGGCTTTGGCTCTCTCGCGACTAGCTGAAAAATGGACTTTCCTTATCTGCCATCAGCAAGGTCCTGAAATGGGACTAACGCAAACGTGAAACTAACTCAAAAAGCGTGAAACTAACCAAAAAGCGTGAAACTAGTACAGTATCTGTCGTAGTAAATCAACGTAAACACGACTAAAAGCGTGAAACTAACTCAAAAGGGTGAAACTAACTCAAAAGGTAAAACTAACCCAAAAAACATGAAACTAACCAAAAAAGCGTGAAACTAACCAAAAAGCGTGAAACTAACAAAAAGCGTGAAACTAACCCGAAAGTGTGAAACTAACAAAAAGCATGAAACTATCGTTTGAGTCCCGTTTCCGGACCTTACAGTGCAGATGCGTCTGTTGAGACCATCCTCGTGGGTCCGGCAGAGCTTGCCTAAAATGGGATCCCAATCCTCTAGCTAGGCAGAGGCTCCGAAGAACCTGGACTCATGGTCACAGATAAGCTCTAGCTAGCTTGTACGATCCCAACTTCTGAAAGCCCGATAGTGGCCGCCCTGCCTCACTTGGTGATCATGGTGAAGATGTAATCTTCCCAGGAGCAGCAGATTCCAACTTCTGAAACTCCGATAGTGCCCCTCACTTTGTGATGGTGAAGATGTAATCTTTCCAGCAGCAGCAGATCCCCGTCGCCGCAACTTTTCCGTAGACGCAGTCTTGCCCAAATCATCTTGTAGCTTGCATCCTTACTGTAATCAGCTAACTAGCTCTTCAAACACCTGAGTACTACATTTTAACTCCATGAATAGATGGGTTCGCAGGCCCAGGCACTGCTGCATATGTACCGTACTACAGTAGGTACCGGGTAGACTGGGCTATGAAATTGCGAAGCGAGGAACCACACTCATACGGTACACTTAGATGACAGCAGATCCCATCTTCTGACCTCCCAGGAGCAGCAGATCCCCGCTGCTGGAACTCTCCGTAGATGCAGTCCTGCCCAAATCATCTTGCAGCTTCTGTATCAAACTAGCTAGCTACTAGCTAGCAAACCAGCTCTACAAATACCAGAGTACTGCCTTTTTTTAATAACTCCATGAATAGATGGGTGCACAGGCCAGGACGACCGGTTGTTGCAAGGGGCTGTGAAATTTTGAAACGATGCATGGTTTTAATTTACCATACTAGTACACTTTGTGTAGAGTTGCCTCCTCTCCTCAACCGAACGCACAAGAAAGATCATCTGAATGAAGAGACTTGTCGGGGACTGGACTCGACGAAGCTCTCGTTCAAATGACAAGGATTCTATAGCTTTCTTATATTCCTTCGTATATATATTGTTCTGAAACCGCAGGTTGGGACTGCACAATGGGTTATTAAGCCTTAGGCAGAGTGGAAGCTCGCAGTGTGTTCCGTTGCACATTGAAGGTCTCTTTGCAGTTGGGGCACTTCACCGTGGCAACAGCATCAAAACCCTCTACTCCAAGGATATCACCGAAGTATACCCTGTTCGATGCCTGGCAACTTGGACAGGGACCGTACGCAACATAGCTGTTCTGGAAAAGAAAATTGTCGGTAATGAACTTGGAGCCCTGCACAACAAACGGAGTACCCAGGAGAGCCAAGATGATTGGGTTCAGTCGGATAATGGGTTCAATGAATTCAAAACCAAGTCCCAGCCATGCCACGAAAATGATGGTACTGGCCGGTAGGTAGAGGAGATTCATTCGGAAGTTGTCTTCTTGCAAGGTGACCTTGCAAATGCCGGTGTCGATGTAACACTGGGGTTCCTTGGCGACAGCAAAAACAGAACCAGCTTCCATCAGCTCCTTCTTCAGCGCATCAAACTCGCCGTCCGCCATGCTGGGAGTGCCCTTCATGTAGTCTTGCACCGCTGCGAGGTACGTTGCTTCTTTTCGATTCATTTGAACAACCTCCGATCCATTCCATTGAAGATCTTCCTTGAGAAGATCAAACTCGTCGTCATTAAGCATCTGCCGATTGTCAAAGTAGTATGCCTACAAATGAACAGAGCAAGGGTGGTTAGTTTCAGCCACACAAAACCAGAAAAGAACATACAACCACGCAATCTATACCTGAAGAGCGTCCAAGAAAATGCGTTCCTTTTCCTCTACTGTCAGGCGAATCATTGTGCCGCTATCCTTGTCTATAACACAGAACTCCTCGTCAGGGATGCAGTCTCCTTCGTCCTTGTTCGACTCGAAGAATCGCCCTGAGTTTTCGTCGTACACAATCTGCTTCTTTCCGCTTTTCATCATGGTGCCGTCCTGGTCCTGTTCAGCCATCGAAAGCACACTTCGTTGCGCACGAGGCGATACTTGGGGCCTGAGGACTCCGAATGCAACAGCACTTGGCAACAGTGCTAGCAAAGCAACGGCTTTAGCTCTAATTCCCATCATATTTGTTGGTCGTCTTTTTGAAAGATACAAGTTGTGACACGACGGAATCCTATTTGAGATCTCAAAATGTTACCCACTCCGTGTTGGCTGCTGTGACGATGGAGGTCGTCGGTGAGCCAAACTCAATCGATCTTCCGCAGTGGCGCTTGCACAACGTTAGAGAGGCCTTTTCCCACGTGTTGCCTCACTCCGATTGCATGCAGCTGCATGCATGAACTGCAGGTGGTACGTACGAGAGAACACGGTGATGATGATTTCGCTTAGTGGGATCCTTTTGGTTTGTTGACGTACCTCAAACAAAGATACCAGCCTTGCAACGTTTTTCGTTGATTTACACTGTTTTGGCTGAGTATGGCCGTATCTCTATCATGTGATTGGATTTGGCGTCTTCAGTCGCGGAAGCAAACTGGAAAGAGAATAGAAGGGAGCAAGCTTCGAAGACCAAGTACTGTAGGGCTGCTCGAGCTACTAGCTAGCTAGTACGGTGTAGCTTGTATGGAAGGCCTGGTGGGAGGAACCAGGCAATGGTCCAACAGCGAGAATATTCTCAAGATGACGTCACAGTATATACCCGTACCGAAGAACGTATTTTTGCCATCATCTCCGTCAAAACACACCATGTTGATGTGCGAAGGACTGCAGGATGGCTCCAGGATGAAGTCAACTAATATGACACCTGCACAACCAAACTAACTATCTAGAGTTGTCTACATTCTTTGCTTGTCACAGCCATGTGCTTGTTGGAGTGGTTCCAGCCATGTAGAAGGCATTATCTTATGTCAAACTAGATACTTCATTTTCTTCCGAGATATTCCCCAAGTTCTCAAGTTTCACCTTCATTTCGGACTGTGTCGCCCTTCTGCTACCGGTATCAACACAATCATACCCATTGATCTAATGTGCCCATTAGGGAGGATGATATCATTGAAAGTGAGTAGGGATCCACGAGTTAATAGAAAAAGTGGCAGGCCAAGCCAGAGATCCAAAATGAGTCAGCCACAAATCCAGCATCTATTCTAGTGGTTCTTGATAGCAACAATGGCTTTGGCCATTCCAGACTTGATGTGATTCATACCTGTAGGAAAGTCTCTATTGGTTCGACCAAATGGGGCATGTGGTGGAGACAGAGACTGGCTGGCCTGTTGGGGGCAGCAAAAAATGCCAGAAAATGGCTGCCTTACTTTGCTGATCGTTCGTCGGTCCCATGACCAGCAAATAAACAAGCCATTACCACCACTGTGACGGGCACATCCAAATGATGCATTCCCTATCTCAGGGTATTGATAGGGTGGCTCTATTGGCTAAACTGCTAAGGGTGTATCTGTCAACTCAGTACGATGATGAAAACGAATTTCTTCAGAAGTGGGAGTTCTGAAGCTGGAGCTGAGGGTAATTTTCCATGATTTACCCCATTGTCCTGAACCATTCTCCCTGTTGGGCCATTCTCCCTGTTGGGACATATGCTAGATGTCTGATTGGAATGCTATTTCCTGCAGCAGTCCAAGTAAAACCAGTTACTATTTTAATAATCGAGAGAATACAGAGAAATAACTTTTCACGTTCTATCACGAGCCGGGAGACAAGGTATACTGTTATGCTGTTTAGGTCAACTCCAGATCATGAGTGTACGAGTTGCTTTCCCCTATCATAAGATCGTGCGACCGACGATCTTTGTTGCCACAGCACAATCTGCAGGGGAAGAACAGGATTTTGAAAAAACAGCAGAAGATCTTGACAAAGCAACGGCAGATGCTGGGAAAAGCAACGTACAAAAGAATATCATGTGAGCATGCATACGTCTGTAGACTAATAGTTTTTTGGATACATCCATCCATCCAAAACCAAACAACGTACCTTGAGCAGCAACCGTCTGGATTTTCAATGACTTGCTGCGCCGAGAAAATAGCCAAAACAATTCCGAAGAGAACAGCGGACGAAACTGCAATGATAACATTTTTGTCGTGCATCATTTGTTCGGGAGTTTCTTGTGGCCATTGCTCGCTGTTTGACCATTCGCTCTCATCAGGTGGCTTTGCAAACGGGTCATCTCCAGTTGGAGGTACATAAGGTGCTTTTGTTCGCTCTTCCTCTGCCTCGTCAACCCATTCTCCTTCGCCTTCATATTCTCCCTCGTCTGGGCCTTCGTTAAAGTCATCGGTTCCTCCCTCATCCTCACCCCCTGGGCCTTCGTTAAAGTCATCGGTTCCTCCCTCTCCTGTGGTATCGGTTGGCGCATCCGTTTCCGATTCGCTGGGATTGGTTGGAACGGGAGTTTCTTCCACTTCCGACTGGGAACTCTGTTGCCCGGATCCAGCCCCTCCTGGACCAGATCCCTCTGATGGCGCATTTGTCTCTAACGTTGTATCATCTCCTGGTTCACCTGAGCTTGGCGATGTAGTCTCTTCAGCCGGAGACTCGTTGGCATCAGGTGGAGATCCGGGCGTTTCTGGTTTTCCCGGAGACTCTGGCTGTTGGGCAGGATTTGTTTCGTTATTCGCCGGGGTATTTGGGTTATTTTCGACTTCTATGGCGGGTTCATTGTCTTGGTTCATTTGCTTTTCTTCTTCCAAAATTTCTGCGCTTGTTGGAAAAGGTGTATCAGCACCAGGACCAGCAGGGGCTTCTGCAGGCACATCAGTCGCTTCACCTGGATCGTTCTGACCCACTACGTGGCCCAGCAGGAAGAACAGGAATAAGACTGGCTTGAAAACCTTCATGGTTCTTCTCGATGGATTATTGCGTCTTATACTGCCAGAGATTATCCAAACCCACCACCAACTGCAGGGGCCAGAATTAACACAAGATAACCGACAAGATACAGCCTTAGCCCCACTCAACTGCTACAATCGCTATCCGTTCTTATGCAGGACAACCAAGAGCGCCGCCGACCTCTTTGCTGGGTGCTTATGGTAAAGATACTGGATGCCGATTAGATTATGAGGAAGGAACGAGGATCGCTCTGGCAACAATGACCGTCCGTCCGACCGACCGACCGACCGACCGACCGATGTGGATTACACGCGAAACCTTTCAACTCTGCTGACTGACTCTACTTCAAACTGATTGTCAAGGACAAAAACGATTGAAGATTCAACTCGATTCTGTTCGATGAGATTGAATCGAATCATTCGATTCATCATTTAATTCGATTAGAACTACTGTAGACCAACTGTTTCAAATTGTTTTTCTTCCATCCTCCTGTCATTCGTTTTACTAGTCTTTACAAGCCTCCACGTTAAACGCCCGCCCGTTTGGAAAATAACCCACAAAACAAGGTGCACTGCGTAGAAAAACGTCCCAGCAATTGAAAATCCAATGGCGCGCGCGATTGCCAGAATTCTTGGAGGCGCAGCCGACACGATTCGTCGCGGGAGCGCTCAACTCAATCTTGGCCACAATATCGTATCCAAGATGGCCAAGGAACTCGGCACGGTCATTGGAATCACGAATCTTGAGAAGTTCACGAATCATGGTCTTCGTGCCTATGGAATCACCAAGATGCATCAAGCTCAGGTTCCAATGGCTGCTCGATTTAAATTCGCCCGTCACAAGTGCGAACAGAGTCAGATCCCTTATGCACGTCTCATAGAGATGAAGGTCAATTGACTACTCTCAAGGCGTTGATGTGCTCTGATAAGGACTTGGCCGTGGAATCTGATGATGAAGACGGAAATCCATGTCCTCCCAGACGAACTTCAGACAAAGAATCTGATGACGGTGGTGGTAAGCCACGCGCAAAGTGAGCCTCAAAGCGCCAAGCTCAAAAAGAAAAGGACATGCCTGGAAGAAATCGAGCAAACCCAAGAAGACTGCATCCGCCAAGAAGAAGTCAGTGCCCGAGGAGATCTTCACTCAAAATTCGGACGATGAAGAAGAGGCTTCCTTGTTGACCGAAGATCTATCCGTCATTCCAGATGACAAGGTATTGAAGAAGATGACGAAGAAGCAATTGCTCGAGTTGGTCCAGGCTCAGGCGGCGGCTTTGAAAGCGTTACAGTTCCTCCCACGACTCAGAGTATCCGTGAGTAGATTGAGTCATGCTTTATGAGTCAACACGATGGAACAGAGAACGCTGGCAAGAACACGTTCTCAACGAAACCAAAGGACACGGTAAATTGGAGTATTCGACAGGAGTAAAGCATCCTGCCAACGAACCGTTTCCGCAGATACCACGTTGATTCCGTATGAATCAAGATAACTACCACGATGCATTGTTCTAACACGCTACGAACTGCTTTACTGATCGCATCAATCAAGCTCACAACACAGATTATGAATTCTAAGAAGCGAACTTTGCATTTACTTGCACTCGTCTTGATAGTTGCAGTTGATCTCGTTGGGTGTAGCTACCTCTACAAGATCCCTCTATTCAAGTAGTTATTTCCTCACGTTAGCAGATTACTAGTCGCAGTTACGCACTGCCACACCTCCATCAAGATGGCCGATGAACCAGCAGGCTCAAGCATGTCCTATGCAACCTATGCGGCGAAGACGCTTCCACCACAGGGTACATGCATCTACATGCGCATCGCACTGTCTGAACAAGGAATCGACGGATGGATGGATCTCCTACTTCTCACCAAAGATGAAGTTATGGATCTCCAAGCTTCCAACGACACCCACGGCGCTCCAAGACCAGTACCTCTCACCAGGAAGAAGCTACTGCTCGCGGCGATACAGATGTATCACCATTGGTCGTTCAAGAGGAAGGCACCCATCCGCATCGTCTCGCTGACGGCCACCGCCCTCGATGCTTTCAGAGTTGGACTCTTCCAGCCACACGGCGAAATCGTCCCATGGCAACAAATGAGACGCAGCGATGCCACGATGACCGATGGGGAGCGTGCAATCGCACTTTGGGACAAGAACAACAAGCCCGTCCGCTCAGAGTTCAGAGAGTTTCGCGACGAATCAGTCTTCATCAAATGGAGGAAGAACTTCCTCAACACGCTCAAATCTCAAGGTCTCTCCCACCTCATTGATTCTGACTTCACGGTCACCAACGTCGAACTAGACGAGAAACAACGAGAATGGATGTACAAGACCTTCGAAGACATCTTCCAAGAAGCACAGGCACGATCTGTCGTCCTTGCCAACGAAACCAACAAGGACACTCGTGCGATCTGGAAGGCAATTGACGAATATTACTCCAAGTCCATGGTCGCAACCCTGCGCTCGGATAAGATTTCGTGTTATCTCACCTCCGCCGATATCGCAGAAGGTGTATGGAGAGGATCCCAAGCTGGTTTCATCTCCAACTTCCTCGAACAATTTCGGCAGTACAATGAGATCAGCGACGAGCCGTACACTGACCAGCAGGGGGCACGTTTCTTGGAACGCTCAATCTCCAAGGCACCAAATCTCGCTCCTGTACGACGTCTCGCACTGCAAACCAAGAAAGCCGCAGGAGACACCTCCCAGTATACGCTCGAGCAATACCGAGCAGCCCTTCTCGAGCAAGCACAACTGCATGACAGTGCAAATCATGCAACGTCCACACGCTCTCGAAGCAACGCTCGTCGTCGCACCTACCAACACGAAATTCTCTTCGATGATGGTACATCGGAAACCTGTGACAACACCTATGAGGCGTTTGTCCACGATATGGATACACCAGTGGAGGTCCTATTGCAAGCCCATCAGACAGACACTCGTGGTCCACGCAAAGTCATGATGAACGCAACCACATGGCGGTCGTTGTCCAAGTCGGATCAAGAGGCATGGGATAATATCTCCAAGCAGGGCAAGAAGAGCATCCTTGACTACACGGCTGACTTAGCTGTTCGACGTAGTCACCACAACTCTGGTCAATCACGCCCATCCCGCTCAGTCAACTCCCATGACTTCCTCGACGTGGGGAACACCACGCCACGAGCAGGCAACCTAGAAGTGTCCTCGCACCAAACCAAGTCCAACAAGGCGGACACTGACCTGTTGCAGCTCGCGTGCAACAAAGCGCATTCAACTCCACCGTCCTTCGCTGGTGACATCGCGTCCGTCCTATCACAGCCGTCCAATACGGCTACACGCGAGGTACGAGTTCACGAGGTTGATCGCTCATCCTACGAGTCCTACTCCCACGAAATGTTGTTCAGCGAGCCAGAGATTGATCCTGATTGGCAGCCCTTCGTATATCTCAATACGAGGCTATTGATACGAGTATCCAACAGCAAATCCAAGAGGATCACACAGGGTACCACACCTTCGAACCGCAGGTTCTATGCGATGAACCCTTCGACCTCTGGACACGTCGACGCATCTCCTCAGCTATGGAAGCACAGCTGGATCCTACGGCACCTCCTGTGATTGGCCCACTCATGGCACCACCATACCATCAGATTCCGCAACCTGGCGATACACTCTTGCTTCGTCAGCGTCAAGCTGCCACCGAGCATGAACAACAGCTCTTGGCCAATCTTACAGCGGAAGAAGCACCCGTCGAGGAGGCACCTAATGCAGAGATACCCACTGATGATCCAGATTCACTAGCACTTGATATTTCCCAACTCCAACTCGATCCTTCATCTGATATTGGAGCCGATATCGACACTGACCTCAGTTTCGCGACACCAAGCGAGAATGACTTCCCGGAAGACTCCTCCATGCGCCACATCAAAGGCACCCATGGAATCCGCAAGGCTGTCCGACAACGCCGAGTGCTCAGGCAGACTCCTGCTGCGCTTGCACCTGCAGCAATAACGACATCATCTGCCACATCCGTCCCCACGATCCCCACAACAACACCGGTCTCTGACGGCACTCCAGACTCTTCTGGGTTCGTTACTGTCACCTCTTCCAAACCTCGAGGACGAAAGGGCAGGACCAAGAAGAAGCAATCATCCACGATGCCCACAGGCACTCTTGGATCTATCTGCAACCTCATGTCACCCCCTGGTTACAGACAGGATCTGCTCTCATCCAGCTCATCCGAATCCAGGAGCTCTGACAGTTCCTACCTTCCCTCCGATGTATCCCAACAGTATCGCACTGGAGATGCATCCAACTCCTTCGCTGCTCTTCAAGACTCCGATGACGAGCAGGATTTTCATCAGGCCGGAGCACGCTAAGCCAACGTGGTCCACAGGCCTCTTCACAAACGGCTATTGCCATACCTTCCGGGGTACACTGTCACGCCACTCCTTCGGCGGTACCTCCCGATGCAGATGACAACACTCGTTCCCTATATTGATACGCAGTTCAGACTACTGTGGTTCGGCATAAGAACGATCGTGGTTCCCTTGTTGATAGGGGAGCCAACGGCGGGATCCTTGGTAAGGATGCTCGCGTCACGGTTATCTGTTGGAGGAGGGGCTGGCAGAGGGGCATGAGTTCCCCAGTCGACCAAGCGTTTCGTGGTGGTGCTGCGACTTTTCTGGACTGTAGCACACCAAAGGGTGGGTGGGACTTCTTCGTCTCCAATGAAGCCCTCGTTTTTGTAGATGAATGGGAATGTGGGGTCTTGTCTCCAGAGTGTCCAGTGGGTGGACTCACGGTGGAACAATTGGTGGATACCGGGATCAAACCACCATTCCCAAAGGGGGTCTTGGGAAAGGAGCCATGGACCAAGTTGAAGTTGAAGCTCTTGGGAACGGGATAGGGGGACTATAGATAGGCACGCTTGAGTGCTTGTTTCCAGAGAGTGAATGCTGTGGGGCTAGGTTTGCGGCACTTAGGCCATTCATTGGAAGTTTCATGGCTGGGTCTGCAGTTGGTGGTA